TCGTGCAGCGTGTGTGACGCGGTTTATCTCGATATCCGCCAGACTGAACCCGTACTTAACCCAGTCGTGATACGTTCCGTGCGGAACGGCCTCCCGGTTCTGCTTGCCATCGTGGTCATTGAAGAAGAGGTACAGGTCGTACCATTTTTTGGGGTCTGTACAGTTGAGGGGTGGTACGAAATGTGCGCCGTCCTCGTAGAACCGAGGCACCAGATCGTATGTCCAGTGAAGTAAGCGGAAAATATGCCCGACTGGGCATATCATGTAGTCGATGTTTCGCGCTGCACTGTAGTTGTGCATCCCGAAGTTCTGGAGAGTTTTGCCATTTCGCGTCACGATCGTAACTATATCCGCGTCATTCACCGGGTCCGTCTCGTCCTCACCGCCAAACTTGCTGAACTGAAGGTCTGGAAGTTGAATTTCACGGACCGTGCCTGCGCGACACAGCGTGTGATGGCTGACTAGGAACATCACGTTCGCGAATAGGGCTCTGTTCAGAATACCTGATGGCTGTGGGTGTTTGGGATTGAATTGTTCAATCGCATCCCCGGGCCAGCAAAATCGCATCAACTTCTTGAACTCCGCCAGCGTGTAAACGTCCGCGGACGTGCCCTTGTGACGATCCAGGTACATACTGCATATGAACGGAGTGCGAACACATTAGTTAATCAGAACCAATAATTCACGGTTGCTTTCAGAGTTTGGCGTGAATGGCATGGAACTTACTCCTTGAACTTCTTGTATTGCTGGCGCATCATGAGGGACACCACGACCGCAACCTCGTCCACATTTGTCGTGAGGTCCTCTCCCTCCAGCAACACCGTCTCTGCCCTGCATTGGGTCTTCAGCGCGGTGAACCGGGCTTTGACCATTGACACGCTGTATGCAACTCTTTTACGAATGGGAGTCTTGGGGTTAAGCCTTGCTAGCATTCGCGCCTGTTTAGGTGACTCCGTCGAGCAATACGTGATGAACATTTTCAGCCGCCAGCGTGTAATTCGCGGACCATGGAACAGACAGTCCTCATCGGGTGCTGATTCCCATGCTGCACCCCTGTCCATCCCAAGCAAATAGCCCACCTCATCCTCATGTGCCATTTTCGCGTCTTCAGGAAAGTCGTCCCGTAGGAGATGTGGAACCTCGTGAGCAAACCAGCGTTTGAACTCCCTTATCGCCGCGACGTATTTTTTCCGCGTTTTGGGGCTCAACACACGCAAGATGTTGCGGACGAAATGCAACTTCGAGCTAACGCCCGTGCTCGCGGGAAGCTTCATCCAGTCGGCTATCGCCTTGTCGGTAATGAGACTCTGCACCCTCTCCACTCCCGTCAACATTTCGTTCAGTTCCGCTGCTTCTCGGGGCCGTATCTCGATACTGTGAGGACGAATCTCATTCTCTGGTGTTCCACCGACACCTCCTGCAGCACCGTCCCCCGTTCGCTCTCCTGGGCGTCTCAGATTCAGATCAGGCATCGTGTCATCTTCATCATCATCGTCATCCTCCACATCTGCGTTTCTGCCCTGTGGCTCCGTCACGCGCTCCTGTTCTTCGCGGTTGGCTTCTGTAACGGACGTTCGCGGATCAATCTGCGTGTGAGATGGCTCTGCAGTCCGTGGGGCTGCAGGCCCAGGCATGCCAAGATTCGCGTGTTGGGCGAATCTGACACTGCTGCCCTGAACGCGTTCGTAGTTCTGAGCGATCGGAATGCCAAGACCGTTGCTGTTCACGACTGTAGCTGTTCGTGGCAGCGTGCTGGGAAACGCCATGTTCGCGGCTGTCTGAGTCGATGGGTGCGGAAAACCTACTCCGCTGGGTGACGCCATGTTCGCGGCTGATTGAGTCGGTGGGTGCGCAAAACCTACTCCGCAGGGTGACGCCAAATTCGCGGCTGACTGAGTCGGTGGGTGCCCAAAACCTACACCGCTGTAGCGTTCGCGGTCGGGATGCTGTCCGATCGGCATTCCGAAAAGAATGCCGTTCGCGGCTGCTCCTGTGTGTGGAGGCTGCATGCTGGGTACTGTCAAGTTCGCGGCATTCTGGGTGGGTTGTTGCGCGAAACCAATTCCGCTGTAACGTTCGCGGTCGGGATGATGCGCGGTCGGCATTCCAAAAGTAAAGCCGTTCGCGGGAGTTCCTGTGTGTGGCGGCTGCATGCTGGGTCCCGTCCAGTTTGCGGCAGTCTGGGTGGGTTGTGCGAAACTAGTTCCGCCGCGGTCTGGATGCTGTGCGCTCGGCATTCCGAAACTAAAGCCGTTCGCGGCAGTTCCTGTGTGTGGCTGCATGCTGGGTGCCATCCGGTTCGCGGCTGTCTGTGTCGGTGGCTGTTCGCCAGTTCTACCAATGTTCGTGCTCGTCCTTGGCATTCCCCATGCGTTACCCGTTCGTTGCGGTGCTGGACGGTGGTTTCTAGCTACCGAAGCAACCCTCTCCATCACGTCATGAGGGCTTCGCGTTGCTGCTGCGTTCGCGGTGCCGGGTGGATTCGGACCGGGCTGCTGTGCTGTCGGGATGTCACGCGAACGATGGGGATGATTCTGCGGCCGGCGCGGCATGACTACGAAGAGACAAATGCGGGAGGATAACACATGGGCAGGTAACACACTCACCGAGGAAAGGTTGATGCCAAATCGGCTAAGTCCTTTTGCAGGTGATCGTGGAAAAAGAGGGCTAGAATGAACGGATCTCACATATTTATACCCAGCACTGTCCTCCTGTCCGTGCTTCGGTTCCCTAGACGTTGTCCGGCATCGCGTTCAAGAACACACGGAAGAGTATGACTCAGCCCCTCTCTGCATGGCTCCAAACATACATTCTCGCTCATGCAATTTTCGCGTTGCGCGCGATACAGCCGTTGGATCACTTTGGGATCGTTTCATGCCGCGCTTGGTGGTGCTCTGGCACATGGCCATCACTGTCAGAACGACAAGTGGCACGAACGGGATTTGTGGCTTTCCACCCCTTTTTCGCGCGATGTCGTCGTCGCCCGGATGCTGCTGCGAAATCGCCGAGCCATTTCGCCTTTTAATCCAAACTCGCCGCGTGTCAATGTGCGACGCGCGAGTGGGCGACACGTGGCTTGCGACGGGGGAACTCGGTTTCCCCTGGGGTTTCCGCGGGCTTTCAACGGCCAGTAATCCGTTCGGTAACCCGTAGGTATTCCCTAGGGCCGTCGGGGCGAGGGAAAAGTTTTCCTCAGCGAGGGTCCCTTGGGAATCCCTCGCGGCATGCAGCGTCCCTCGCTCACTGGCGGACGCGTGTCCGCCTTTACCGCCCGAATCCGTTCCGCTCGCCTGTTTCACGTGCGCGGATCCGCGGAAAAAAACACTGTACGTATGTATTAGATGCTCTATTCGGGCCGAGGGTGTCGGGTTCCTCAGCGAGGGGGGGGTCGCGAGGGGGGCCGATGCCCTCGCCGTCGTCACCCCGGGCACGCGAGCGAGGCCAGCCTGGGACTGCCCTGTCAACCGCCCAGCTCGCCCGACCCTCCTGGCGAGGGAACCGAGGCCCGGCCCTTCGGAGCCTGACCGGGACGCCCAGCCGGAGCTGCCCGTGGGGACCACCCAGCTGACTCGGAACCCGACCTGGTGACGCAGCTGCTCGGGGCCACCTGACTCGGCCAACTGCCCGGGCCGAGCCACGCTGACGCGGCAAGGGGCCCGGACCGGTAACCCCCTTGGCGACCCATGTCCTCGGAAAATCCCGACCGTCTGCGACCTTCGCGAATGACGACGTTGTTACGATGCTGCTGAAAGCCCGTGCATGTCGTTTCGTGAATTTCGATGTTGCGCGACGATGCTGTTACGATGCTGTTGAAAGCGCGTGCATGTCCTTTCGTTCATTTCGATGTTGCGTTTATTTATTTCATTAGCGCATCACAATAGCTAAAACAACTCCATCACAATCGCGATTGTACACTTCGCGTGCCACACGGTACACTAAATCCCCGAGCAGGCAAACGAGCGACGCTGAGGCGAGGACGAAACCCCAACGAGCCTCACAGCCGCGGTTTGGGACACGTCCGTGGCGAAAGTCCCGGTTCGCGTGAACCCGAACCGGCGGATGGAGCAGCTGTGGGTTCACGGGTGGGGAGGGGGTAAAAGGGGCCCGAGGCCGTCATTTCTCATTTGCGCAAGTGATTTTTTTGCAACCTTCGCTTCTGCTTCTCAACCTTCGCTTCTGCTTTCAAACTTCAAACCAGGTGAGCAACGGGGGCTTGGGCTAGGGGAAAGGTGTAGGAGGATGGGCGGATTTTGTGTGCAAGGGGTGAGTGTGGATAGCTAGGTGCGTTGTAGGCCCCGCGATTCGTTGTGGAGTGCGGTGTGTTGTATTTCATTTTCCCAGTTTTGTGCCGCCGAAGCGGTAGTGATCTAGTTCTCCTCGACCGGGCTAAAGCGAATTTCGGGATTGTAGAAACCGTGCCCAGTCGCCGGGGCGGTTTGGGTTTTTTTTGCTGCTCTTTTTTCGCGCCGTTGACTCCGTCATTTTTCGCAACATTAACCCCCTCATTTTTCGCGTCGTTAAACCTTGCAATTTTTCGCTTCCGAGAAACCCGTCATTCTTCGGACCCGTCGTTGAGCCCGCTTTTTTTCGCGTCGTTAAACCCATCCCCTTTCCGCGTCGTTGAGTCCCGTCATTAATCGCGTCGTTGATTCCAGTCACTGTGTTTTCGTGATGCGAATGTTGCATTAGGGTTGGTCGCGTGTGCCGTGTTGAATCGTGCCGTTCTCGCTTTCGGCAGGATGGCTCGTGAGGCGCGAGCGTTGTCCGACCCCGTCGCGTGCCTTAAGAAGTTTGACGTCGCCGTGGAGGCGGGCGGAGCCACCGTTGTGCTGGCCGCGGAAGACAAGTCCGTTCTCGCAGACGAGAGCGCCAACTTCACCGCCGCAGTCCTCGATTTCGCGTGCATGTAAGAGTGCCCTTCGTGTTTCATCTTCAATCGTGCGCCGGTATTGTTATGACGGTTCTAATCTGCTCGTTTTTTTTGTTCCGTTCTCAGTTACATGTTGGAGAAACACGGAGGAGAGCGTCGCAAAAAGACAAAGATTTATACGTCGGCGCAGCAGGCAAAGTTGCTGGCATCCGACGCCCCCATACCGGTCATGCTCGAGTCCGACCTCCTAGTCTTCCCCCTGTGGTCCAAGTACGGTTTGGCCGCGATTTTTACGAGCAAAGCGGAATGCAACTCGTGTAGTGCCTTACGATTTTTTCGCGTCGCGATGTGCAGGTCGGATATCGACGAGCCGCTGTGTAGCATTATCGTGTTTTTCAAGCCGAACGACTTGCAGAACGAGGACAGAGAGGGCTGCGCTACTCGACTCATCCATATTGACCCGGGCATGGGACCTGACGGGCACGCCGCGAAGGTGCACGAGATTCTCACGTAAGAAAACTGTCACGATTTGTTTTGGAGGGTTCGCGGTGATTCCGACTTCTGACTCGTTCCCGTGCGATTGTGGTCGCAGGTGGTTCAAGTCCTCTTTCGAGAGGTATGCAAAACAGGACAAGGAGCCCAGCCTTAAACTGGCGCATCCGCGGGTGATGGCTTTGGAGCGGAAACACATGGTTCGTGGGAAATCAACCGCACTCACTGATTGCCCATTTTTTTCTGTGATCGCGTGCAGGACCTTACCTCGATTGATGATTCGCGGTGCGGATTAGGCGTGAAGTGCGTCTACGGGTTCCAGCGCTTGCTCACGGAATTCGTGGCTCTGGCGAAGATTTCCGACGCTCCGGTCCGTGCCGTGGCGAACAAGAATCTGAAAGCAACTCGCGGCCATATTCTGAAGCACGCGCAGGACATCGCTATCAAGATGAGCATCTCCGACCAGGCCGGAGGGTCCGGAGAGACGTCAGGCCGGCGACACGCGGTTGAGACCAGGCACGATGAGCCCGAAGACGAGGAATATCTGGAAGCAGTGGGCGGGGAAGAAACCGAGGGGGCGGGTGAAGGGGATGACGACGGTAACGCGGGTGAAGGGGATGACGACAGCAAGGACGGTGAGCAGCGAGACCGCAATGCCGCCGCTGCTGCTGCCACCGAGAAGGCCACGGTTGACACTCACGATCGGACTGCCGCAGCAAAAACCGCGCGAACCAAGACCTCGGCCCAGGAACCCTCCGCGCCTCAAGAGCAGCCTGCTGCTGGCGCGAACGAGGAGTCGAATATTCCGCGCCACACGTTATCCGAGCTGCTGAAATGGCCACTGTCAACGCTCACGCACGAGGTGCTCCGGCTGGAAGGTGCTCTGGATGATTCGATTCAGGCTCGGTACGACTTGGATCACGCCCTCAAGGTTCAGCGCAATCGGATTCGCGGCCTTCTGAATGATCTTCAAGTCCAGAAGGACAATCTGGACGCGGCCATTACGAGGACGGCCAACATCGCAACGCGGTTTCAAGAGGCCGAGGAAAAATGGGCGCGGACAGTCGAGGGCTTGGTCCAGGAGCTAAGGGTTGAGCGTGGGTCTGCGACTGTGCAGCGCGAAGCCGCGGACCGTACGCTCCATAGGTTGGAGGACACCATGGTGGGACTGAGGGCCCTGATTGCGGATTCGATTTCGGAGGCGGTGGCGCGAACGCGTTACGAGATCGCCCCGTGGGGAAGGATGGGGACGTTCGAGGCAGGTGTGGCGACCGCCGCGGACCAAGGAGGGGGAGGCATCAGGTTGGCCACCGCACCCTTGCGCATGGAACCCGCGGAAGCAACTGGGAGTGAGGATCGTGGATCGAAGAGGCCACCAGGGTTACCGACCCCCCGTTCACCCTCGCCGCCCTCCAAGAGGGTGAAGGGATCGTCCGAGCAACCGGAGGCCCGAGAACCTGGCCGCGGGAGCTTGGCTCAGAAGTCCAAGGCCGCGGTTGCGCCTGTGAAGGGGGCCTCGGCGATCGCGTTTGGAACTGGGGGGCGTCCACCGGCTGGAGCTGCCGCGATCCAGCAAGCTTTTGTGCCCTTGCTACAGGGCGCAGAGGAAACCCCTGACGCAGATGCGGAGGCAACGGCGGCCATGCAACAGTGGCTGTCCATGGTTCAGCACACAGAGAAGGCGGACGTGAAGGGAAGCGCGAAAGGAAAGGAGGATCCGAAATGGGGTGTTGGTATTCGGAAGAACACGCGTGGCTTGTTCACCTTGGAGCTTCACCATTCGTCACGGTGGTACTTTGGTTCCCACACTAAGCTCCCTTCCGTGCGGTTTCTGTGCGTGGTGGCACAGATGGTGTGGAATCAGCAGATTCCCGAGGACAAGCTGGTTTTGACAGACGATGAAGAAGAGGAGTGGACCCCGGATCTTGATGTGGCGCGGATTATGCACCCTGGAGTTTTCGCGGTGCTTTATCTGCGATGTGCCTGCGCGAGCCCCGAAAGGTCAGTAACGTCTGGTTCTGCTTTTCACGCGATCTCTTTAAACAACACGCGAAATTAATGTATCGATGTCACGCTTGCAGGTTTCGAGCTGTGATCTCACGATACAAGACTTTGAAGGACGAAAACGCGGAAGCGAGCGACGAGGTCGCCTTCTCTGCTGCGGTTGGACTTGAGACCGTGGCAGACGAGTCACCCGCGAAGGGCAAGAAATCTGTGCCCGCTGAAGCTGGGGGTGTGGCGTTTGTTTGCGCTGTTGCCTGGATGGAGTGTAAGGGATTTGATCGAAAGACCGCGGAAGCGAGCGCGAAAGAGGCCGCGCTGCTAGCAGGAGCGAACAATCTGGGCGTGGTTCTTTACCTCGCGGTTTGGAAGCATATCGTTACGGCAGCGACGAAGGGACATGATGCTGCTAAGATCGAGCTCAAGGTCGCGAAATATTTCGAGAACGCGAAGAAAGTCGCTATCACGAAAGAAGAGAAGAGCATCATTCACGAGCAGGTGGACGTGCTGAGAACCTGGAGCTTCGACCCAGATGCCGCTAAGAAGATGCGGGCGCTGGGTCTGTATATCGAGTGCGGTGACGATCGCGCGAAGGCCAAGAATCGTGACGTTAGCCGGTCGCGTGGAAAAAAGGCTGCCGCGAAATCGGCTGACGAAGAGGGAGGCTCCCAGCCGATTGTTGATCTTGACAAAGAGGAGCAGGAGGAGTCTTGATCGCGGCATGGTTTTCGCGCAATGCTGTTTCAAATTTGCGAACACGGAATTTGCTCTTTTTTTGTCGTTCTTAAATCGGGTTGTGCTTCAGTTGTTTAGGTGTGAACTGGGGTTTAGAGTCTCGAACTGAATCTTGATTGCAGAGGGCTAAGATCTTGATTGCAGAGGGCTAAGAGGTCTGATTTACTAGAATCACAACAATTACGAAATTTGTTACGAATATCAGGGGAAAGTCGGCAGTTTATCATACACGAACAGACTCAGAAAACAGAATCTGGAAACGCGCTTTCAAGCTTCGCGCGGCCTTTTGTTGGAATCGTTCGGGGTAGTCTCTGTCGCGTCATTCGTGGTTGTGTCGTTCGCGCCTTTGAAAAACACACTCCAGCAGTTCGGAAACACGGTCTTGCCCCATTCTTCGTCCTCAAAGCCACGCTTGACAAGTTCCACCACAACATTCAATTTCTCCATGGCCGATTTGTTCTTTCGCAGTGAGTCGGCCTTTTCGTTGCAGGGCTTTGACGTCTTGCACGTCAGCCCGTCACGAAGTACCCCGAATCCGAGACGCGAGCCAATGCCTTCCAGAATTGGAATCACTTCTTCAGTCGCGCCACCACGTGAATTCGCATATTCCGTCACAGCAGCCATCAATCTTTTCTGCCGCGTCATCGCCGATTCTTCTGACTTTACGAGCTCGTACTTCCCCGTGAAGCCACCTTTCCCGACCTCGTCCCGAAGTGTCAGTCCCGTTTCCCCGAAAGGCCAGCACCATATCCGCCACGCTTCTTGGACTGTGCCCGCCTTGATCCAAGGTCGAAACCGCTCTGTCTTGAAATCCTTCCCCGCGGCGTCGAGTAGGGGTCGGGGGGGCGGGTCAGGCGCGGTTTGCGGCGGCTCCTGGACGCGCGAAGAAGAAGCACTGACGGACAAAGCCGCGATTTGTTGTCGCGCTGCTTCCAGTTCCTTCCGCAGCTCTGATGTTGTCCGCCTTTCCGATTCCAGCTCCACGGTTTTGGCGCGGTGTGAATCCTTCACCATGTTCAGCTCCGCCGTCAGTTGAACGCAGCGATGTTCCGAGTACAATCGTCTGGACACCTCCTGTCAGGTAGAGGACATTCGTAAGTACTTGTGCGCGAAGGATTGCAATTAATTTTCTAATGCGCGGAAAATTAGGCACTCTCACCACTTGTGTACACATGGTTGGCGAATTCCGGAGCGCAATTCCAGCATCGTCACTCCACGCGACCTCACGCGCCCAGGCCTTGAAAATCGGATCCTTGCACAAGTTCGAGGCCCTCACGTATGGGTGCGCTGGGTTCTTCACGAGCATCATGGCCAGGTCCTCGGCCACAATCCTCCTCCCAAAGTCTCGGAGGGCTTTCAGAAAATGAATAGCAGCCATGTCTTGTTGCGATGAAGGCCCAGATGCGTTCCGACGGCGCACCTGCAAAAAGCGTGTTCGAGTCTCAGAAAAACGCGATTAACGAGCACGAAATAAGTAAGGGACGCGGCAACAGGGTACGCACCAACTCCAGCTGTTCTTCCACAAAAGGGAAGATTTCGCGCCGGAACAGTTCTTGGAGGTAAGGGCTCGGTGGAACCTTTGAGCGGCCGATGTGATAGTCACCCGTCAGACCCGTGAATCCAGCAGATCTCAGAACAGCATCTCGCGCCACGTTTGGGAGATAATGCTTCGTCAGAGCATTTGATGTCCAGTTGCCCTGCCTTTCGATCTCCCTGTCCGAAACACCCATCATTGAGAGAATATGGGCGTTGGATGCTCGTGCAGCGTGTGTGACGCGGTTTATCTCGATATCCGCCAGACTGAACCCGTACTTAACCCAGTCGTGATACGTTCCGTGCGGAACGGCCTCCCGGTTCTGCTCGCCATCGTGGTCATTGAAGAAGAGGTACAGGTCGTACCATTTTTTGGGGTCTGTACAGTCGAGGGGTGGTACGAAATGTGCGCCATCCTCGTAGAACCGAGGCACCAGATCGTATGTCCAGTGAAGTAAGCGGAAAATATGCCCGACTGGGCATATCATGTAGTCGATGTTTCGCGCTGCACTGTAGTTGTGCATCCCGAAGTTCTGGAGAGATTTGCCATTTCGCATCACGATCGTAACTATATCCGCGTCTTTCACCGGGTCCGTCTCGTCCTCACCGCCAAACTTGCTGAACTGAAGGTCTGGAATTTGAATTTCACGGACCGTGCCTGCGCGACACAGCGTGTGATGGCTGACTAGGAACATCACGTTCGCGAATAGGGCTCTGTTCAGAACACCTGATTGCTGTGGGTGTTTGAGATTGAATCGTTCAATCGCATCCCCGGGCCAGCAAAATCGCATCAACTTCTTGAACTCCGCCAGCGTGTAAACGTCCGCGGACGTGCCCTTGTGACGATCCAGGTACATACTGCATATGAACGGATTGCGAACACATTAGTTAATCAGAACCAATAATTCACGGTTGCTTTCAGAGTTTGGCGCGAATGGCACGGAACTTACTCCTTGAACTTCTTGTATTGCTGGCGCATCATGAGGGACACCACGACCGCAACCTCGTCCACATTTGTCGTGAGGTCCTCTCCCTCCAGCAACACCGTCTCTGCCCTGCATTGGGTCTTCAGCGCGGTGAACCGGGCTTTGACCATTGACACGCTGCATGCAACTCTTTTACGAATGGGAGTCTTGGGGTTAAGCCTTGCTAGCATTCGCGCCTGTTTAGGTGACTCCGTCGAGCAATACGTGATGAACATTTTCAGCCGCCAGCGTGTAATTCGCGGACCATGGAACAGACAGTCCTCATCGGGTGCTGACTCCCACGCTGCACCCCTGTCCATCCCAAGCAAATAGCCCACCTCATCCTCATGTGCCATTTTCGCGTCTTCAGGAAAGTCGTCCCGTAGGAGATGTGGAACCTCGTGAGCAAACCAGCGTTTGAACTCCCTTATCGCCGCGACGTATTTTTTCCGCGTTTTGGGGCTCAACACACGCAAGATGTTGCGGACGAAATGCAACTTCGAGCTAACGCCCGTGCTCGCGGGAAGCTTCATCCAGTCGGCTATCGCCTTGTTGGTAATGAGACTCTGCACCCTCTCCACTCCCGTCAACATTTCGTTCAGTTCCGCTGCTTCTCGGGGCCGTATCTCGATACTGTGAGGACGAATCTCATTCTCTGGTGTTCCACCGACACCTCCTGCAGCACCGTCCCCCGTTCGCTCTCCTGGGCGTCTCAGATTCAGATCAGGCATCGCGTCATCTTCGTCATCATCGTCATCCTCCACATCTGCGTTTCTGCCCTGTGGCTCCGTCACGCGCTCCTGTTCTTTGTGGTTGGCTTCTGTAACGGACGTTCGCGGATCAATCTGCGTGTGAGATGGCTCTGCGGTCCGTGGGGCTGCAGGCCCAGGCATGCCAAGATTCGCGTGTTGGGCGAATCTGACACTGCTGCCCTGAACGCGTTCGGAGTTTCGAGCGATCGGAATGCCAAGACCGTTGCTGTTCATGGCTGTAGCTGTTCATGGCAGCGTGCTGGGAAACGCCATGTTCACGGCTGTCTGAGTCGGTGGGTGCGGATACCTACTCCGCTGGGTGACGCCATGTTCGCGGCTGATTGAGTCGGTGGATGCGCAAAACCTACTCCGCTGGGTGACGCCAAATTCGCGGCTGACTGAGTCGGTGGGTGCCCAAAACCTACACCGCTGTAGCGTTCGCGGTCGGGATGCTGTCCGATCGGCATTCCGAAAAGAATGCCGTTCGCGGCTGCTCCTGTGTGTGGAGGCTGCATGCTGGGTACTGTCAAGTTCGCGGCATTCTGGGTGGGTTGTTGCGCGAAACCAATTCCGCTGTAACGTTCGCGGTCGGGATGATGCGCGGTCGGCATTCCAAAAGTAAAGCCGTTCGCGGGAGTTCCTGTGTGTGGCGGCTGCATGCTGGGTCCCGTCCAGTTTGCGGCAGTCTGGGTGGGTTGTGCGAAACTAGTTCCGCCGCGGTCTGGATGCTGTGCGCTCGGCATTCCGAAACTAAAGCCGTTCGCGGCAGTTCCTGTGTGTGGCTGCATGCTGGGTGCCATCCGGTTCGCGGCTGTCTGTGTCGGTGGCTGTTCGCCAGTTCTACCAATGTTCGTGCTCGTCCTTGGCATTCCCCATGCGTTACCCGTTCGTTGCGGTGCTGGACGGTGGTTTCTAGCTACCGAAGCAACCCTCTCCATCACGTCATGAGGGCTTCGCGTTGCTGCTGCGTTCGCGGTGCCGGGTGGATTCGGACCGGGCTGCTGTGCTGGGATGTCACGCGAACGATGGGGATGATTCTGCGGCCGGCGCGGCATGACTACGAAGAGACAAATGCGGGAGGATAACACATGGGCAGGTAACACACTCACCGAGGAAAGGTTGATGCCAAATCGGCTAAGTCCTTTTGCAGGTGATCGTGGAAAAAGAGGGCTAGAATGAACGGATCTCACATATTTATACCCAGCACTGTCCTCCTGTCCATGCTTCGGTTCCCTAGACGTTGTCCGGCATCGCGTTCCAGAACACACGGAAGAGTATGACTCAGCCCCTCTCTGCATGGCTCCAAACATACATTCCCGCTCATGCAATTTTCGCGTTGCGCGCGATACAGCCGTTGGATCACTTTGGGATCGTTTCATGCCGCGCTTGGTGGTGCTCTGGCACATGGCCATCACTGTCAGAACGACAAGTGGCACGAACGGGATTTGTGGCTTTCCACCCCTTTTTCGCGCAATGTCGTCGTCGCCCGGATGCTGCTGCGAAATCGCCGAGCCATTTCGCCTTTTAATCCGAACTCGCCGCGTGTCAATGTGCGACGCGCGAGTGGGCGACACGTGGCTTGCGACGGGGGAACTCGGTTTCCCCTGGGGTTTCCGCGGGCTTTCAACGGCTAGTAATCCGTTCGGTAACCCGTAGGTATTCCCTAGGGCCGTCGGGGCGAGGGAAAAGTTTTCCTCAGCGAGGGTCCCTTGGGAATCCCTCGCGGCATGCAGCGTCCCTCGCTCACTGGCGGACGCGTGTCCGCCTTTACCGCCCGAATCCGTTCCGCTCGCCTGTTTCACGTGCGCGGATCCGCGGAAAAAACACTGTACGTATGTATTAGATGGACCCAACCAGGATGGACATGACGAGACTCGCTAGCAATCACGTCCAAGGTATCCTCCTGAGTCCGCACGGCGTAGCAGCACAGTGTTGCAATCCCGCTTCGACGCTGAAGGAAAATCGCAGATCGCGGCGCAATGAGCCTGACGGTTCGACTAAACTTCGAGAAGGTCGTACCTCAGGCGAGGAGCACGGACAAATCCCATGAAATTGCGTAGGACGATTACTGTACGGTTTGGTACAATATGAGCCTCACACATCGGATCCTCCCACGTCAGCACCAACCCGATACCGTCAGCAAGGGCTCTGGGGCCGTGAATATTAGGTTTTACGGAACTAATGTGGTTTCGGAATTCTGTATAACATTGCTTAGAATTTCGGTGGTCTCCAGTCTCCCTCGTGGTTCAACCTAAGTATAGGAAGCAGTTTCGAAGCACTGAGAATCGGAATTCAGGATGACGCCCTGGGTCTCAAAGAAGGGATACCAGCAGATTTTTTTCCCTACCAGCAGATTTTTTTCTCAAGGAACGCTCGACTGCCCCATCTACTCCCCACGTGATGCACCCATATCAATCTCCCCTCGTCGGCCATCTTCGTCGCCTTAGCCTAGCACCCCATTGGCCCCATCGTCTTGTAGAACGAGGATATCGAGGAAACGGAGTGTGGTTCAGGATTCATGGTTTGTCAAAGGGCGTAAGGGCGGGGATGGAAAGATCAAGTTCCTGCTCGATACGTCGCTGATTTTACCAACCAAAACACGTGAAGTCTTACCCCGCCAAATATCCATGGCTCTGGCATCGCGGAAAAGGGAAATTGCGTTTTGGGGTGTCCGAAGGTTTTTCTGCGTGGGGCTTGCGTGATTGTTGCGACAAGTGTCCGAAAAACAAGGACCGTAAAACGCAACATTGGCGCGATCAATAACCGCACACTGGACCACAACATTACCGCCACCAAAATGTCACTTTGGGGTCACCTGCGCCATTATTCGCGCCGCCTCCACGAATGCGCCTCGAACACATGCGGCTCGAGCCAAAAACGCCACACATACTCGGTATTGTCGTGTCGCCCCTCCCCCGCTACAGGGACCACAGAAACGATAAATGCACACCTACTCCGAGCAACTGTATATACTGAACAAACCAAACTACACTGCTCTGCACACCGTCTACTTCATAATGTGTAAACCGTGTCATTCGCTTGCAACTCCAGCACTCAGCAATACAAAGTACAACATCACACAAAACCAAACCCTACTGTCAACCAGCAACCACAACTACAAAGATGAGCCCACCCTTCGAGGCATGCCCTCCAACAAACGCTTCCCCCACCCACTACAGCATCAAAACCAAGCGCACTACACGGACCCACTGTCCGACGACCCCGAACTGCGCGCTCGCTTCTTCGGTGTGCGGCTTAGGCGGCTAACCACCTCTCCATCAGAGGCGCCAACGACAGTCGCCACCTCCGCAGGAGCAATCCCCAGCGCCTCCGCGTGACACACGTACGCGTTCGTCACATTGCGGATGGCACGTCGTCGGCTTCGTTCGTCACGCATCAGAGGCCCATCCGGCAGGCACATCTCGCCCTCGTCCCCTGAAGACGTCGGCGTCGTGGGCGTCACCAACTTCACACCAGCCTTCTCCATTAACCACTCATCGCATGTCACGTAATCGGACACCGGCATATAAATAGCCGGCCGCACACGGAACTCACGTAGCAGCACCAGGAGGTCCGCCGTGGTAGAGACCAGGGGATCGTACATGCCGGCCGAGTACATGCCGTGCAGGTGCCACATCAGCTCCCACCATGACTCCGGGACGCATCCCGCCCTCCACCAGCTCCTTTGCATCGTTGCCGCCGTCAGCGCCTTCCATGCCAAGCCCACCCACAGCAGCATAACACCGTAATTCACCAGGGAAAACGGCGCTTCGAAATCCTCGTGGAACAGATTGGACCGCACCGCGCGTCTCATCAGTATCACACGATACTCAGCCTTGAAAGCGTCCACCACGCCGTGCAAAAACGGCATACTGGACCAGTGCACAACGTCTGTCAGGTCCACAAAGCGTGTGTGCGTGAAATGCACCATAGTCAGCCCATGCTCCACCGTGGTCTCCGCGTCATTCGCGGTAATGCGGTGCGCCGTGTTGTAGGTGAACACAACCGTCTTCCTTCCACGGCTAAGCTGCACCCCATCAACCGTCTGAAAAAACTCGGTAAACACCTGCGCACCGCCAAGCCACGACAGCGCCAGCGCGGAATTAGGGTATCACACAGAAACAGGGTTGAAATGCAGCCACAACATTATACACATGTGCTGGTGGGAGTCCACTCGAAATCTGCCCACATACCTCGGGTGTGAGGCGCCCACTCTTCGTGTAGCGCACAATCACCGCCGGTGCAGGATCCCCGCTGCGCCTAGGTTCGGGGCGCTCGTCATGGCGCAACACCACAAGGGGCACCGTGGTGCAGGTCCCCGTCGCATTGTACAAGAAGCCGACACTTATGATCCGGTCGCACGGGGTTCCGTTCCTCCCCGGTATCTTGGTCTTCGGCAACCGGCTGGGCATAAACGGTATCTCCACAAACAGAAACACATCGTCGGGGAGCACTTTCAGCTTCTGTACGATGTCCTTCAACGGGGGCTTCACCAACCTCATACTGGCCACCAGCACACCCCGGACAACGTGTGGGACGCTGGAGATGAAATGGTGGACGTCCCCAGAATAATCCACCAAAAATCCAAACCGTACTCTCCACCACCACATGTGCTGCCTTTTAGGCGCTCCACATGTGCAGCAACCACTGAATCGCTCTCCAACTGAACACTGTCCACTAAATGCCAGGTACACAATTGCGCAGTTCCCATTGGCCCAACCTGTCAACCTCTGATGTCGTACACGTCACACAAATGCGCACCTGCCAGTCACACGCACTAGAAATCCGAACATCGAACCATTAGCCCCAGCCACATATCCAATTGGATCCCGTAACAAGAGTGTCCCTGCATTTCAGCCACAACACCCAAATCCGCACACCAGTGCCCTGAACCTACAACCGTAATAACCAAATCCGTTACAAGCATTGCCTCAATCCACACACCGGCCGCCAAAATTCCACTATGACGGTGCATTTTCAAAATCCCACATTCCCACCACACAAGCCCACCAAATCCAAGCATGAGACCTGCGTACTATTCTGTTGCGCACTCTCCTTCCCTTACCCAGGTTCCCGTGCACCCCTAAATGCCACAATCCCACAATTCCACCCCTTCTAGGAGTGTAACATAACTACCTTCCCTTTGTTCCAAAAACACAGCCCTACTCCAATTACTCGCAGAGTAGAAACTTGTTAACCAGCAGCAGACGAGGGTTGCTGTACGATGGGCATACGTGGACAACCCTCTGCAGGCTCTTCAGCAACACCACTGCGAACCGGACACTCTCTCGAGCTGGATGCAACTGGGTGCACGTTGTGATGGGACACTGGCCTGCTGCTTCGTAGTACCTCACGTAGGCACACCCAGTCCACTTGCCCTCCGCGTTCAACGCCTTGAAAATACATAGGCATCTAGCAAACCAATCCCCGCCTTCAGGAGCCAGGAGTGCCACATCTGAGAACAGGTTCTCTCGCGGGGACGCCTTGACGAACGTCCCCTTCGCCACAAGCACCCCACCCTGCGTACGTGGTATGGCCACTGCTGTGTGTGTCTGCAATAAGGCAAGCACCACGCACAAATCAAAGAGGTCAGGCAATGTCACTCGTTCCGCGCACCAAAAAACGACAATCCGCGCACCACAAAAAACAATTACCTGCACACTGCCAGGGTTCAACTGCATCTCCCGCAGCTGACCTGGTAGGCCCGCCATCTGATCCCCAAATACCGCTGCGTACTCGGCAAACACCTTGTCCGCGGTGCCTCCGAGGCGCATGACCCTGAACTTCTTCGTTAGCACTGGCTCCATCTCTTCCACGGCCTGCCGCACACAACCACCGGCGACACAGCATGCACTGAATGAGAGTGCATAGCAAACACGCACCTAGTACAGGGCGTGCGTCGCCCAGCGCACCACCCCTAGTCTTGCTTGCACCCTAACACTCACCACACGCAGCGCTGACACGTACTGCCGACCTCCTCCCGCATCGAGAGCCACTTCTCTGTAAAACTCCCGCTGCATCTCCTCATCCACAATTCTCCTCGGAATGTCAGCCCAGTTGCTCCCCCTCACGGGACCCTTCACTGTCCCCTTGTGAGTGCGCTCCCACATCTCCGTGCTGTAGTGGTGTGGCATCCCCCTTGCTTCCACGTTCTCGAGAAGATGCTTGATCATGTGGATCTTGGGAATTTCCCACTTTGACGCCTGGTCCGGGAAAGCTTTGGGCAGCAGCTCCATCAACCTGCATAGCAAACAGTTGTGTAGCTCAGAGGTTCTAACAGCAGACTGCAAAGCACAGGGTTAAGGGTGCACAAGGATTGCAATCAACACACGTCTCCAACCACCGTACTTACGCAACAGCACGTTGCTTGGCCTCTTTCAGCGTGGCACGGGTGTGCGCCGCCACTCCCAAAAACGCCTTGTAGAACAGGGCGTAATAACGGAATGCTCTAACCTGCAGCGCCCTCAACTCTCCCGCCTCGCCCTTCTTCAAGGCACTAGAATCCGTAATGAGGATCGACATGATTTGCATCATGGCACGATGTTCGAACGCCGCATAGTGGGCACCAGAAAGGAAGAATGATGATCCCCTAGGAATCCGCAGCAGCACACTTGGAGTATCGCTTTTGAACTCCTTCTTCCGCCTGCCACGCAATAGGGACCAACGAGCCAGTTACGCATCTCGGCCAAGCCATAAAACCCGTTCCAAGGAACTGACAAAGCCCTGACCACCCCAAAACACCGCACTGATGATCTACACGGCTCACCTCTCCAGGATGCGGATCTCGACTTTCCCCAGGGGGGAAAGGTATTCTTCCATCATGTGTACGAAGACACCAGAGTCCAGCACGTGTAAAATGTCAGCCAAACATGCGAGGTAGACGTTCCCCCAGGTGGTGTTCCCAAAGTTCCACCGCGCCAGCACGCACTGCGCACAGAAGGAAGCACGTCACAACCCTATATGTACAGTGTCGCCACGAGTCGAACGAATGTTTCCACGGCACAATGGCAAACTGCAACATACCTCTTTCGGATGGGTTGACCACTGGCTCATGTACTTCCGGGCGTCCTCCTTTTTGGCGAACGCAAAAAACTGTCGCACAATGTCCTTCTGCCGCTCAGGTGTGCGTGTATCTATTTTAGCAGTCAGCCGTTTCAGCTCTCCCACTTCTGCATAGCAGTTAGCGCAGGGGCGATGAGTGCCCGTCTGCAGCGTGGCTGAGGCCCTACTGTTCTCTGGATAGTCACCAGGGTACCCATAGAGGCAAGGTACCGCCTTGACCACATTGCCGGTGGCGTCTGTCACATAAAAGTACCTCACAGGAGCACTGGATACAGAAAGGGATTTCGAATAGGTAACGGATCACAGGTACGTCACAAGCAACGCGTATACCGCGTGAAGAACCAACACACATGCCGCCAAACGTACCTTGCGGTTTCCCGCATCAGGGGTCCTAGGATGATCTTTAGCGCCTCCTGGAAAACACGGGCCTTCTCTGTCGGACTAGCCCATTCCGGACAGAATGGCAACACTGCCGCAAGAGTGTGGCCCGGCTCAAACCACCTCAATTCCTCCGGAATGTTAATAAGCGATATCAGAACAGGCCACGCATTCCGCCGCCCGTTGCGCGACGCCTGAGTGCTGTCGCTGTACACGATGACCCCGAGAATCAGAGCCTTGTCGTCCTTGATCTCTTTCTGCCACACGCACACACCGAGGTGGTTATTACAGTACCACGCCCCTGCATCGGACATGCACTGTTTCAGCCAGGCAACGCACCTGCGCCTCGTGCATCCACGTGCCTGTTTCTGGCCCCTCGAAAACGCGCTTCCCCTTCTCGTTGTACTTCTCCTGTGGCTTCCACACGAAACCCTTCCTCCGCGAAAAAATGCGGACTAGCTTCTTCACAAGCTGCACATCAGAGCATGGCCATAGCAAGCATGCGCGACAATACAAATATAGATAGGCACGTTACACGCCATCTGTCACAACACCTAAGCCGAATAAGGGCGGTACGCAGATGACGACAAGCTCACCAGCTCTGTGTCGCGGAAGTGCAAGAGAAGCTTTTGGGACATTCCTCTGGGCCCGTGCACGACGATATGCTCTGTTTTCCATGGAACCATATCTGGCGGCGCACGCTCTTTCCCCCATCGCTTCACGTCGGCGTAGCTGCGCCACTTGCGTAATTCCTTCAAACTGAACTGAGGGTTACGGAATATGTTAAGCAGTCTGTTGACTTCACGGCGTGATAAGTCCGCGTCACGGAAAAACAGGTACAGCTCCGTGAGCGTGTCGAAGAAGTCGGAGACGTCGCTGGCCTCCGAAGAAGTAGAGCTTTTTGAGTCGCCATCGTCCGCCTCATGATCTGCCTCCGTCGCCTGCGGCGGTGAGCCCTCTGGCGGCAAGTTCGTAGGTATAGGGTTGGTTTTGGCCCCAGACGTAGCAGGGCTGTGCTGGCGTTTTTGCCCAACACTGTTTAGCGCATCCAGGTAAGCATCAAACATAAGCTGCTCGAGATTTCTCTTCAACGAGTCCCCGCATTTCGTTCTGTCTGAGAGATGAGACTGCAAGTCACGGTCGCTAGGAAATTCCTTACCGCACACTCCGCACTTGTTTCCCGTCATCTCGGACTTGCTACAAACCCTAATCCGACCACTAGCAATGGTTGAGGTAGTCGGTTTTCATATCGTCCACGGCCGTGCGCGGCAACATATGAGGCGTCAGTGCTTCGTACACACTACATGTACGTAAGAATACACTTGGTTGTTAAAATAGCCATGTGAAGATAGACGATATGTGTATAAGACTACGTCGTTGAAGCAAACAAATAGTGTGCAACTCTATCCGTTTACTATTGATAATATTCACCTTCGTAAATTTGGCCACGAAACAATAGCAGAAACTGTCAGCCCATTATAAGCGCTATTATATTACAAATCTTCAACGAGACTTTACATGCCGCGTATACGTGCACGTGCTCCCACGTACGCATCCCGTAAACAGGGGCTTTCCCATCCGGCACTGTTTGATCACTGCTACACTGGCCAGGTGGCCCCGTGTCTACACCTTGCCCACAGCGGTGTACTAGCAATTCGTGCGAGGAAGTGCCAATTTCGTACCTTACGTCACGAGCCAGATGTACGCGTTTGTGCATTGTCGTATCACTTTATATCATCATAAGTCGAAACAAATGGGAGTTGGCCCTACCAACTGGACCACTACTTTATCGACGCTACACTCCATTTCGAATTGAAAATGCCTGATATAAAACAAGTCATACACGCACCCCCGTTATTAGGAGCCTCTCGATGTCGTGCTGGCTACGGAGCAATGACATGCACTCATCCAACTATTCCAGACCATTCTGCGGTGCCCAGCTGTCATCATCTCGGTGACCTGTGCATGATGCGACGAACCTCGAGTAACCCTAACTGGAGATCTGTCATCCATCGGGGGATGTGACCACTTTTGCTGCCTTCTTGCCACGGGCTATTGCGCTTTCCCAAATTCGTTCACAGGAGAACCCTAACGGTTTTAGTTTACCGTGGGAACCGTGGCCGGGCCCTAGTACACCTGATTCTGAAATCGCATCCTTCCCCTCATCCCGCGCCAACCATGCCTCCGAAAAACGCGCACACCGGCAGCCAAGAATCGAGCGGCTGCTCCGAGTCCGAGATAAGAGAAGTGCGTGCGACAAGGTCGCGTAAGGGAAAGGCCGCCGGCTCTAACAAAAAAAGGCAACGACGGGCGGTGGAGGATGACAAGGGAAAGACCATGGAAGTCGCTGACGGTGCAGCCAGCACGCCTGCTGAACTCCCTCAGCCCGACGATTTGGTGGCGGCGTTGGAGAAGAATTATTTCAAAGTCGAATATCGCAACGTGGAGCTCAAGAACCATCGCGACGTGGTCAGCACAGTCGACAAGAAGGATCTCGCCTCCATCGCGGACAACACATGGGTGACTGACGGGGCGATAGACTTCCACAACGTGTGAGTAACGGTTTCGCCCGGCTACATGCACGTTGTGTTTTTTTTTTTTAACATGATAAATCGCAACAGGAAGATCCGATGCCCTCCCTTTATGCCGACTTTCCAACATGTCCGGCGTGTGTTTCCAGGCTACTAAGCATCCGAGTGCCGAAACTGTCAAACGGGAAGACATGGGCGGCTGTCGATTGCAACAACTTCGCGAACACCACTGAGCACAATACTCCCGTCAATGCTGGAAACGGCCTGCCTCTCCTTGAGCACGACTACCTGGCGGTCCCTGTCTACAGGGGGTAATCATCGAGCTGTTTGAGTAGTTCAGCAACACCCGTGAGTTGCATGCATTCTTCATCGGTCGTACTAAACACTGCCGTTTACTGCCGCTTGCCTCCCTGCAGAGAGCACTACTCATTGGTGATAGTCGTATCACCCCACCGTCTGGTGGATAAGATGGCAAGGAAGGATAGCCCTCCGCTGGAAATGGTGTTGTTCGACAGCTCCAAGGCCCCCATGAGTACACAGAAGGTTTTCAGTGGCGTGAAGCTGTAAGTGTTTGTAGCATAAGCCGTAATATGGTGGTTGTTAACACCGGCGTGGATGTAACCGGGTTCCTCATATGAGACGTGATGCAGGTTGCTGACAACTCTCGCCAAGCAGACGCACCCACATGTGGACATGTCGAATTTTGAACTGCTGCTGAAGGACGTTCCCTGTCATGTCCTCACGGTAAGGGCGGCTGTTCTGGTGTTTTTGGTGTTAGGCAGTTGAGGTTTATAAGGTGAAAAGCGGCAACCCGGTGTGCGGATTCTTTGTGTGCAGGCGAACCACATCCCTAAGCAAGAGAATGGTTTTGACTGCGGAGTCTTCATCTGCCACTACTTGAAAGTTTTGGTCTACTCCGACTTCGCCAACTTGAAGAGTGGCCTGTGGTTCAAAGGGGTCAGCGCGCTGCAGTACCGCCGCAACATGCGCGCTGATATATGCGCACACGCTATGGGGGAGTTGCTCCGGAGGCTAGAGGAAGATGGCGTGGATGTTCCTTCTCAGGAAAGCGGCACCACCACCAACACGACTTTGAAGGAGGGTGCAGAGGACGGACAACACACAGAGCAAAGACGTGTGGACCGGCTCGAGGCGGAGGTGTGCTCCTTGAAGCGCGAGGTCGGTGCGATGACTGCAGGATTCGCCGCAATTGGGCAGGTGCTTGGGATGTCGAGGGAGGAGCTGATCTCTGCCGGCGAAAACATGCTGCAGAAGCCTGCCTGCGCTGTGCAGGGAGCGGGAGGTAATGATCCGCGCAAGCACGGCCCAACCACTCCTGTACGGCCTTCAGGATACACGAAGCAGCTGAACGACAGCCCTGACGAGGATCTGGTGGGCTCCAACACGAGAGTGTCGCTCGACAGCAAGTTCGCGTCAGCCGTTGGAGCGTACCCCTGCTTCCCGGCACATCTGCCGATCCCCGGGACGGTTCCACACTGGCTGTTGTCGCGCCAGCAGGGAGCTGCGGTTTCACTAGTCCAGCCATCCTATCCTGTTTACGGCATCGCGCAGAGCGGTGCGGGCGCACACCCCGGCTTCACAGCTGTGCCTAAGCAGGAGCCCTTGGCCGGAGTCGAGGATTCTGACGAGGACGGAGAGGGGGAGACCGAGCCAGGAACAAAGCCGACCAAGTACACCGGGGTGTATGTGGAGGCCGATACAGGCAAGTTTGGGGTGAAGGTTGTCGCCAAGGACAAGGACGGAAAGAAGGTAACGAAGAGAGTCGGCGCTTACACCACGATAGAGGAGGCAGCGTATTGCTACGCGGCAGCAGCCCACGTGCTGAGGCCAGGCATGGGCACCAGGAACTCTGTGGCTTTAACACCGGCGGATAGGGCAGCTTTGAAGGGGTGCACTCCTGAAGTCCTAAAAGTCCTGGTGGATGCCCGCATGTGGTGGCGCTGGAGGGTATGGAGGGAGGCGTACGAAGGTGTGATGCGGAAGGCAGCGCGGGCCAAGAAGAATGCAACGCCTGCTAAAAGGGGGAGACCGCGAAAGGAGAGTGGTGCGCAGGGTGGTGGCACGGCAGGAGAGGGTGAAGGAGAGAAGGCTGGAAGTGAGGACACTGAGATCGTTGCCATCGAACCAACCAACAGCAGGGCGCTTGGGAGGCTCCGCAGTGCCGATGCAAAGTCCACGGATGACAAGACAGATGAAGCTGGTCGTGGGAGGCAGAAGGATGGTGCTTGGGATATCAGTGGGAAATGAGAGTGTACCGTGGGATAGAAAAAGGCATCCGTACCCGACTGATGTTTGCATGCGTGTGGAAAGTATGTGAAATCTATCGTGTCTGTACTATTTTGCTAGTAAATGATATCTGGAGTTGAATGTGGAGGTGTTACGAATTTGCATGATAGCAAGTGTACCGAAGACGGAGTAAGCGGAACTGATAGCGAGAGGACGGGTTTTCGGACAAAAGATGACGGGGATCGGTGGCCGATGCATATTCGCTTACAAAGATGACAGAAATCGTGGAGGTTGTTTCCGAGTGGTTGTCAGAGATTGCCTTTAATTTGATTGGAGGGAACGGTTTTCACAATGGGTGTTTCCGTTGTTGAGCAATGTTCACTGGGTACCGTATACTTTGCTATATCAATCCGAGCACTAAGGAATGCGTACGGTGCACTCAAACACTGTCAACTGGGCACAATGGAGACTTCCCTTGCTTCCGAAGATACTGGCAACTTGGGGCGTGCACGGCGAGTGTCCCAGCCTCCGGCGTAATTGCGCGCGGCATATCAGCTTGCAACTCCTCGTGGGCGCATGGCAAGGGGGACTCGGGGAACTGCTTTGCCTAAGCGTTTGACGTTTACCAGAGCGGGAGGTGGCGGAAAATCTGCTGGTGATGGTAATCACGGGTTTGTTGCGCATGTTGCTCGAATTGTTCCTAAGAACTGAGGCGTTTACAGTCTCGTATGCCTATGAATCCGTTGGCATTCCCCTTCCTTCCGCAATGGAGCTTTTAAACCCTCGAACTTACATTCTCGTCCACATTCCCACCACTTCAGAGACTACGGGGGGGGAGACATCTGACGCTTCTCCCGGCAGAGTAGGCAAGCAAGCGGCGGAGAGTGACTCGCCAGATTCGCGTTCCAAGAGCGACGTTGATCCGCGTCTGGCTCTCCGGAATCGAGGCGAGGACGTTGACGGGGGCGACCAGGCACGCATCGAGAGCGACGTCAACGCTTTCGAAGAGGAGGATGACGAGGATGTGGGCGACGCGATGCGCGCGATGTTCGAAACCAACACGAACCGCGAGAACGCTGATGTCCCAACCAATGGAGAGGAGGTGCGCGTTTCTGCGGGAGTATTCAGGAGCCTGCTTAAGTCGCAAGACGAGAGCGCGAAGAAGGTTGCCCGCTTGGAAACCTTGCTTTTGGAGGCACTGGCGAAGTCCGATGGGGGATCTCGTCGCCGCAAAGCAGAGCGGCAGAGGGAGCCGGGACAGGGATGCATGAACCCAAAGCGCCAGCGTCGTGGCGAGGCTGTGGCTGAGGTTGAGGACGATGACGATGAGGTGGACGACGACGACGACTTCGAGGACGTGGATTAGATTCGCACGCGGCGCAAACATATGCGGTCTGCGAAGTCGCCTGTTCTGCAACGCGCACTTGATCTGCTGCCAGCAGACAAGGCTTGGAAGGTGGGTTGTGCTAGCAGACGGGAAACATTACTGTATGGGCGGGCGCAGTCTGCAGGGGGATGCCCTTTGGTGGAGCACTGTTCTCATTCAGTGTTTGCGGTGGTTCCTGACTTGTGTGCAGCGACTATGCGAGTTGGTCCGCGTGCAGCTGTTCCTGAAGAAGCCGGCCGCAACCATGACTTTCTATCCGAGCTCTGACGACAAGACTTATGGCGTCTGCGCAGTGCTTGACCGCCTGCCGCATAGCTTCGCGTGTCTCGCGCTGGCAGCGGACAAGTCCCGACGGGCGGACCTTAACAAGACGCTGAGCGAGTGGAAGACAAGGGCTGCAGCACGGGTCCGGGACATTGCGCTCCCGAAGCTTGGATTCTTCCGGGACGAGCGCGACGAGGCAAGCCCGTGGGCAAGGGACAACGCACGGACGCTGGAGCAGATTCGCGAGCTCGGAGCGGACGAGAGCGGTAAGCGGTGTTCAGGCGCTTCTACACATTGGTGACGGTTGCGTGCTTGGGTGTAGTCTTTTTACTCGTCCGAGCTGTCGGCGGTGTGCAGATGATCTGGTGTTGAGCAACTGGGCTAACGACCGCGACGGGATGCCCTTTGCTTCTGCGGCGTTTGCGGCGTGCGCAAAGGCTGCCTTCATTCCGAAGAATGCGGCACTGCCGCTCACTTTGAAGGTGTACCACCTTGCGTGGCTAGAGCACGTGGTGAGTGACAATGTTTAAATTTGGTGGTTACTCCTCGCCTGGGCTGTAGGCTTACAATGTGTGCGCGGTGTGAATCTCCTGTCAGGTGTCCGACAGCATCATGTACTGGGAGCAGAGGATGGGCCGTCTCTCTAACTCGGCGGGGGGGAACGGCCACGTGGTGAACGGGCTCAAGGTGCTTGTGAAGGGCTCCGTTTCACAGGCCATCCGTCACTTCAATCCAGAGTACGACGAGGAGAAAGAGGAGTGGATATGGGGACGCCATGGCCTCCGCCTTTCTGCATGTGGGCTTGAGAGCATGAAGCCCAATGCAGGCGCTAGCGGAGGAGACGCCGCCGGGAACGATGTGCAGTCGGTGTCTGTCGGGGGTGTGTAGAGCGGCGGGGAGGGGGAGGACGGGCTGTTGGTGGGCATAGACCTTGCCGTGGTGGGAGGTGATGTTGCTTTTGCGTGCGCTATTGAGATACGTGCGGCTGGTTTGGGGTTTATAGGTGACTAGATTTCTCTTGCAGTTTACGGTGTTTGTTGCGCGGTAGACGGTTGTGGAAATTGTTCTTGTATGCTTGTTTTGAGTGTGTGTAATGGACATGACAGGGTCAATATCCATCCAGTCAGACATCGGCGGGCAATGCTGGTTGGCTAGGACCAATTGAACCAAATTTTCCGGGGCGCGCGTCATGTGCACCGCAAATGTCGCCGCGTTTGACGGAGTGCTCACGAGAGGGGCAATGGTTTGGGATCCGCCTACTTTGACAGCAACACGTGGATTGCCGTGGTTGGTTCGAACAGTTGACGAGGCCCCATTTGTCGGCACGGTGTTTGTGTGCTTGGCATGGTGGCGTTTGTGGAATGTGTGAAAGTGACGCGTGGCGGTGGAGGGGTGGATCGTTCCCGTCCTCCGTGGACGGCTGGTGTTTGGTGATGCGTGTTGTGCGACACTGGAAGTGTGGTGCAGGCGACCATGTTACGAGCGGTGCGAAACCTCAACGTGGCCCAACTGCCACGCTGGTGGTCGCGGGTGTCGTGCACCAACCCTGTGAGGTCTGAAGGTGGTGATGCGACGCGTAGGGGCTGTGCGAATTGCTGCCGCACGCATTTGCGATCGCCGGTGCGATCTCCCTAAACAGTGGCTGATACGTGGCAGCCTATGAGTTGTTGATGCTACGTAGGGTGTAGAACATGGTCGCGTGCAAGTGGTTGGGCTACGCATGCGAGGTAGCTGCGAGAAGGGGTAACACATAGTACGATGGCGGGTGTTGAGGACACGTGGGACAAGCAGGTGGTGAGATGGCGCGTGGTAGTTCTGTATCAATGGACGTTGTGAGTTGCACGTGGCAGGGGGGTAGTGGTGCGAGGCATACAATGCATGGAGAATGGACGGGCTGGATGTGGTATGCACTACCCTAATCTATGGTACTCGTTTGGCTGGAGGTATTGTAACAGTATTGGCGACTCGCGGAGCTGTTTACACGTGAACGGTGCATAGTTGGTGTGGTGGTGCGTAATCGTGCGGCTGTGGTAGGTTCGGCATGTAGTGGGTGTGTACGCTTACGTGGCAGGTATGGTTGAAATTCAGGTACACGTGGGCACGTGTACGTCGCCGCATGTTTTGGTTACTGGGAGGTATGTGAGGTGGGTGGTTGCGGTGCAACGTTATGGTGACCATCCGAGTAACGTGTGTGGTTACTGTATTCCAGTTGTGAAGTTGCCTGTACACTTGCGTGGCGGATGCGGGAATCTGCACACGTTGTTGCCAGAAAGTGACGGGAAGGTGACGGTTGTAGTTACTGACGCTACCACTGTTGCTGAGTCAAACTTTTTTCTTGCGCGGAAAATGCAACTGGAAAGTTATGAACGCGCCACTTTTAAGTTTTTTTTGGCACTTGCCTTTTCCGCGATGGGAGTAAGCTGCATACGTGATTTGCGTCTCCTCCAGCCTGGCATTGCGGAGAAGACGCTTCCAGAAAGCATTTTACAGCAATGCAGTCTTATCAAAGGCCCGATATTCACCGAATCGGTCGCGTCACGACTTTCTTGCATGGTGGGGAGCCGAGGGTGCCCGGGGCACCCCAGGGAGTGCAGCAGGCAGGAGGGGAGCCGAGGGTGCCCGGGGCACCCCAGGGAGTGCAGCAGGCAGGAGGGGAGCCGAGGGTGCCCGGGGCACCCCAGGGAGTGCAGCAGGCAGGAGGGGAGCCGAGGGTGCCCGGGGCACCCCAGGGAGTGCAGCAGGCAGGAGGGGAGCCGAGGGTGCCCGGGGCACCCCAGGGAGTGCAGCAGGCAGGAGGGGAGCCGAGGGTGCCCGGGGCACCCCAGGGAGTGCAGCAGGCAGGAGGGGAGTTGAGGGTGCCCGGGGCACCCCAGGGAGTGCAGCAGGCAGGAGGGGAGCCGAGGGTGCCCGGGGCACCCCAGGGAGCGCAGCAGGCAGGAGGGGAGCCGAGGGTGCCCGGGGCACCCCAGGGAGTGCAGCAGGCAGGAGGGGAGCCGAGGGTGCCCGGGGCACCCCAGGGAGTGCAGCAGGCAGGAGGGGAGCCGAGGGTGCCCGGGGCACCCCAGGGAGTGCAGCAGGCAGGAGGGGAGCCGAGGGTGCCCGGGGCACCCCAGGGAGTGCAGCAGGCAGGAGGGGAGCCGAGGGTGCCCGGGGCACCCCAGGGAGTGCAGCAGGCAGGAGGGGAGCCGAGGGTGCCCGGGGCACCCCAGGGAGTGCAGCAGGCAGGAGGGGAGCCGAGGGTGCCCGGGGCACCCCAGGGAGTGCAGCAGGCAGGAGGGGAGCCGAGGGTGCCCGGGGCACCCCAGGGAGTGCAGCAGGCAGGAGGGGAGTTGAGGGTGCCCGGGGCACCCCAGGGAGTGCAGCAGGCAGGAGGGGAGCCGAGGGTGCCCGGGGCACCCCAGGGAGTGCAGCAGGCAGGAGGGGAGCCGAGGGTGCCCGGGGCACCCCAGGGAGTGCAGCAGGCAGGAGGGGAGCCGAGGGTGCCCGGGGCACCCCAGGGAGTGCAGCAGGCAGGAGGGGAGCCGAGGGTGCCCGGGGCACCCCAGGGAGTGCAGCAGGCAGGAGGGGAGCCGAGGGTGCCCGGGGCACCCCAGGGAGTGCAGCAGGCAGGAGGGGAGCCGAGGGTGCCCGGGGCACCCCAGGGAGTGCAGCAGGCAGGAGGGGAGCCGAGGGTGCCCGGGGCACCCCAGGGAGTGCAGCAGGCAGGAGGGGAGCCGAGGGTGCCCGGGGCACCCCAGGGAGTGCAGCAGGCAGGAGGGGAGCCGAGGGTGCCCGGGGCACCCCAGGGAGTGCAGCAGGCAGGAGGGGAGCCGAGGGTGCCCGGGGCACCCCAGGGAGTGCAGCAGGCAGGAGGGGAGCCGAGGGTGCCCGGGGCACCCCAGGGAGTGCAGCAGGCAGGAGGGGAGCCGAGGGCGCCCGGGGCACCCCAGGGAGTGCAGCAGGCAGGAGGGGAGCCGAGGGCGCCCGGGGCACCCCAGGGAGAGCAGCAGGCAGGGGGGCAGCCGGGGGTGCCCGGGGCACCCCAGGGTACGCAGCAGGCAGGGGGGGGATCGATGGACGACCGGGAACAGCAGTTGGAGGAGTGGTGCCGACTTTTGGAGTTTGATACCCCCATGGCGACTGCGGAGGAGTCAGAGGCGGACGGAGAACCACCCAGTCCGCCTTCCCCATGCCCCCGTTTCCCGTGTGACACGTGTTTCCACACGTTCGCCACGAGAGGGGCCGCTGCGAACCACATGAGGGTATGCCGGGCGGCTGAGGCGGAGAGACGCGCGCAGGCACTTGGCTCGATCCCGTCTCTGGTGGAGACCGACACACAGGAGCGACCGACGCCGCGGGAATTTGGGGACGAGGCGTGGGCAGGGGTTAAGTCATGGGAGTGGGAGGCATTTTTCTGTGTGGAGGCGGTTGGAGGGAGGACAGTGCGCCGGATCCCGCAGCGGGCCCGGTCCGGGGTCTTAGACGCACTCTGTTGCATCTTGAAGCGGCTGAAGAGCCGACCGGGAGATGAAGCTGCTACCCTCCTACTCCTGGCGTTTCCGCGCCTCATCCTAGCCGTGCCTCCCAAGCCAGGCATAGGTCAGAAGGCGCTGATCATAGAGCGGCTGGGGGCCTTCTGGGAGGGGAGGTGGCGGGAGTTGTTCGACGCTGCCATGGCGGCGGCACGGCCAGCAGTTCGCCCACTTGCCTACACGTGCTCTGACCAGGACCCGGAGGCCATCCGCCTGTCACGGTGCCGATCTCGGTGTAAAGTGGGAGAGTGGAGCCGTGGTTTGTCTTGCCTCACAGCAGGAGAGTTGGCTCGACCGTCTGAGGCTATGGTGCAGTCGCTGCGAGGGAAGCACCCAGCTAGCAGTGGCGAGGTACCACCGTGGGTTCGTGAGTTTACTGTCGACGCTCCTCAGCGGCCTCCACTCACGACCGACATTCTGGCTAGAGCTATCCACACAGCTGCTCGCGCCTCAGCTGCAGGGCCATCGGGATGGGTCACAGAGCATCTGCGCGACACTTTCCTCACGGAACCTTCCTGCCTCTCCCACCTGCTGGAAGTGTTCAACCAATGGGTGGCGGGACAGGTCCCCGAGCGAGCTCGGCCCTGGCTCGCCGCATCCAACCTAGTCGGGCTTTCCAAACCCAACGGTGACGTCCGGCCGGTGGCGATCGGGGAGGTGCTTCCGCGTATCCTCGCTCGAGCTCTCTGCATCTCGCTTCGCCCTGTGATGGCTTCTTATTTTCTGCCGTGTAACCAGCTGGGAGTGGGCACCAGGGCCGGGGTGGAGATTCTTACTCATTCTTTCCGGTCAGCGCTGGCCACTCACCCCGACTGGTGTGCGCTGCAGATAGATGTCGCGAACGCCTTCAATTCGTTTCATCGCCACGCGATGTTCGAGGGGCTGAAGGAGTCGCCTTTCTCAGGAATGATCCCATTCTTGCGTGTCTTCTATGGGACACCTAGCGACCTGTACCTCCGAGCGGGCCCTTTCGTACAGAGTCTTGAGTCGGCACGAGGATCGCGACAGGGGGACCCGCTCGGCCCTTTTCTTTTCGCTTTCACGCAGCAGCAGGTGCTGGGGACGGTGACTAGAGAGTTCAGGGACCTACTTTTCTTGAGCTATGCAGACGATACCTACATCCTGGGACCAGCGGCTAGGATTCTGGAGGCTTTTGGGGTGCTGCGAGAGAGGTTGGAGTGGGTGGGGCTGGAAGTGCAGGCGCACAAGTGCAGGTTTTGGGAGCGTGGAGGTGGGGATATGGAGCGGGCATTGCCTTTGGGGATGCAGCGGGAGGAGGAGGGTCTTATTGTGGTGGGCGTGCCTATTGGGGAGGAGGATTGGGAGGGGGCCCGATTACGGAAGCGGCTTCGCGAGTTGCAGGCGCCATTGCCGTGGCTCCCCCTGCTCGACCACCCCCAGATGGCCTCGCATCTCCTCGCTATTGCAGTTTCAGCACGGCCGATGTACCTGGCCCGGACTATGCCGCCGCGGCCGGAGGTGGTGGAGGCCTTTAGAGAGTGGGACAGCTGTCTGGAGGATTGCTTTGAGCAGCTTTTCCCCCCTGGCACTTGGGAGCAGGATCCCGGCAGGTCTAGGCGCGCACGCATGCAGCTGCATCTCCCTGTGCGCCTCGGAGGGTTTGGGATCCGGGCGGCGGCCTCTTTGAGTCCGCTCTCCTATGTTTGTGGGTGGGCGCAGGCCGCACGGGATATTGCACATTTGGGGGTGGCGGGCGAGGAGGCGATGTTCGCAGAGTACCTCACCACTTCGGCGGGGGCGGAGCTTCTTGACCCGTGGTTTGCCAAGGCCATTGAGCAGTTGCCCGCGACTATACGCCAGGAGCTGCCGGACTTACCCCTGTGTGTGGCGGCCCCTCCTCTTCGGCTTTTCCAGGCGCGGCAGCGGCAGTTGGCTGTTGAGGAGCTCCAGGCACTCCGCCGCTTGGCTCGTGACGATGCCACCCTAGCCCGTTTCACATCCCTTCAGGGCCCGGGGGCTGGTGCATGGGTTTCGGCAGTTCCGGCTCATTCAGATCTCACATTCACTGCAGCGGAGTGGGGCATTGCTGCTGCTATACGGCTTGGTCTCCCAATCCAGCAGCTGCAAGTGGCGGGGAAGTGTGTTTGTGGCGCAGCGTATGATGACCCAGCAGACCCGCATCATGCGCTGAGATGCAAGCACCAACACGGTCCATCTCGGGTGCATGATGAGGTGAAGTTTGCGGTGGCAAAGATCGCTAAGGCGTCAGGGGGGGTGGTGACGATGGAGGATAGTGCGGTGCTGCCGGGGAAGCGGGTTGACGTAGCGGTGCGACGACCAATGGCTGGGGAGGCTCATGCTTTAGAGATTAGTGTCGCGGACCCGCTATCACTGTCTCCATCTCTGCTAGGGCAGTGCGGGCGGTCTATAGGCGTGGCGGCAAAGGAGTGGGAGCGTCGCAAAACGGGGGATTACGCGCCTCTTCTTGCACGGAACCGAGGCGTGCAGTTCACCCCTTTGATAGTGGAGACGTGGGGGTGTCTCGGCGGTCGCTTCCGGCGGTGGCTTCGACAGCAGGGGGACGCGCACGTGGGGCTAGCTGTGTCACGGGGGGCTTGTCGGGAGGATGACACTTCGTTCTCGGCTTACCTTTTGGGGTCTCTGAAGGCGCTCATCGGAGTGGCGTTACAACGGGCGCAAGCTCGTGTCATCCTGCTTCGGGCGGCGTCTTCCATGGGGGGGTTGAATGTGGACTTGGTGGATCGGGAGAGGGACGATGTCGAGGTGGAGGGCGGGCCTCTTTGGGTGGAGGCCCCCTACATGGTGGATGTGCAGATGTGACTTGGGGGGGGGGGGGGGGGGGGGGGGGGGGGGGGGGGGGGGGGGAGGGGGAATGGGGTGCGAGATGGGACGTCTGGTAGGGGATCCTGGTTGGGTTTTTTCTTTATAGAGTATTTTTATGGGGCTTTTTATGGGTGTTGCGTTTGAGTTGTTTCTGGTGTCTTTCTTTCCCGTTCCTCTCCTCTTGTGCGATGCTTTTCTTTGTAAAGATTATGTGTCTGTTGTCAGAAATATGTTTATGTTAAGCATACAAGGTATATCCTCCTTTCACTTAACCACCTTGGCAGACACAACCGAGGTCAGCGCAAGGCGCAGCCTCATGCGAGCTGGGCGGCTCCCATCAGTAACTCGAGGGAGGCACTTCACTCAACAGAGCCTCCGAACCGAACACCCCAGCAGCACTGCCCAGCCCTCCAAGCAAATAGCGCGCTTGACCCAGAAGTCTGCCTGCGAATTGAATCCGATCACAGCCTCGCAGTTCAGCTGCCCCCAAAAAGTCAGAGCCACAGGCGACCCCGCGCGGATCAAATGTGAGAAGCGGCAGCAACCAGGGACCACGTCCCCGATGGCCCATGGTGGGAATGATACGATTTGAATGTATCGGAAATAACCGAATAAATATAATATACACTGTCAGTCTGCTACTCGTTCCTTCCCAAACCAAATTGAATACCACCATACCAGGCATTTCAGTATGCCTGCCAGCATTCCAACAAAATTGGCCTGCACTTATTCTTGCCATTGATGTCTCACAACTCATCCCCAGCTTAGTGGTATTCGACGAAGCAAAACCAGGGAACCTTTGTTACTTGATTAGTGGTTGTCATAAAAAAGAAAGAAATTATGCAATCCTCCACATAGGGAAAGCTCGATGGAAGTTGTAGTGTAGTGTGTCTGCACATAATCCAATCTGTGCAATCACTAAGTAACTGAGCTTCATGAAACAATTGCAGAGAGGAAATGTACCATACGTTGCAAATGCAAATGGTGCATTGCATCAATCTCATGTCATGCTGCTACCACCTACCGGTAACCCTCTGATGATAAGTGAAAATTCAGACGGGAAGGCAAACATGCATAAATCCCTTTCATTAATCTTTCTTTCGCCGGTTGGATGAAGGAATGAGAGGAGGAAGCAAGGCGGAGAGCAGGAGAGGCAGGATGGAGCCAAAGAAGTATAGCGAGCGCCACACTCTGAATGTGAGGTCCGCCCGCAGGAGCTGCATGCACACACAAACACAAACACAAGAGGACAGGACAGGGTGAGGGGCAGACACAGGCTCTATTGTAACCGACAAATACATTCCAACCTGGGTCCCCATCCAGGGATTGTGTGCAGCACGGCAAGGCAAGCAGGGGGATGAAGAGCCCGTTGGCATGGAGGAGCTGTAAATGCGGTGCTTCTGGCTCACCTACCCTTGACCGACCACACCCACCAGGCACAGGCCTGGCAGCGAGCTTAACAAGCCAGCATGCCCGCACTCACAACCGACGCACTTCCCACGCAATGGAGCCAGAGCAGTCACAGTGTGTTAGCAGCACAGCACTTGCAATGAATCAACGGGAGCCTGCATATGGAAGCACTCGCATTGAAGCCCAGTGGCGTGCATCCCATGCGCACACACAACGCTCCCGAGCAGGCTGCACGTGTGTGTCCAGCAGTGCGTAGCACAACGTGAAAAGCGCATGAGATGATGCGGGTATACGGAATGGCGGCGCTCACAATGAAGCCGAGTGGAGCATACCCCACGAGCATGCGCGTGTAGAGCATCTGTGCCACCCGTGCCATGCCGCGCTGCCACCGCCTGTGCAGAGGGATGGACTGGTGCAGGCGGTGCAGCACTGCAGGCGTGCACAGGAGGGATTGGAGAAGCGAGGGGCAGAGAGGAGGGTTGGGATGGGTGAGTGGGCAGAAGAGTGGTCAGAAGAGTGGGCAGAAGAATGAGAAGAAGACTGCCTGAGAGGAGTGGTGTGCAGGGGGAGGGGGGTAGTGGCATGCAGGTGAAGCAGCAGTGCAGGCACCAAAGGGTGGTGGGAGGGACGTGGGAGGGGGCGGGTGGTGAAACGGGGGCAGAAGGAAGGCGAGACAGAGGCAGTGAGAGGGATGATGTGAGCAGATGAGGATGAGCAGCATTGGCGGCAATAAGGACTCGTGGAATGGAAGAAAGGCAGGGCCATGCATGGTGACAGGGAGAGGGAGCAGCATGGGCCGGGGCAGGGAGCAGGGCAGGCAGGGACAGGGAGCAGGGCGGGCGGGGGCTTACATTTGGAAGCATCTTGAGCGATGGCAGCAGAGAGGAAGAAGAGGTAGTAGCCTGGATGTAGGCCCTGTTGCTCATAGGCACACATGGCATGGCATGGCATGGCTCCACATGCATGGCATGGCGTCAATCGACAGGCCATGCAGTCCGTGTCCGAGTGTGCATGCATCCATGCACACATACATACATGGGCAGACACATGCATCAACATACATACATCATCATCATGCATTGACATACATGCATCAACATTCAGACATACATCAGCATGCATGCATACATACATGCACGCATGCAAACCCATGCACAAAACGGGACACTTGACAAATGGGAAGAGATGGAAGAAAAGGTAAGGGAAAGGAGACAGATTTGGGATAAAATAGTTGGAGATTTGGATGGATGGATGGATGGATGGATGGATGGATGGATGGATGGATGGATGGATGGATGGATGGATGGATGGATGGATGGATGGATGGATGGATGGATGGATGGATGGATGGATGGATGGATGGATGGATGGATGGATGGATGGATGGATGGATGGATGGATGGATGGATGGATGGGTGGATGGATGGATGGATGCATGTACGGATGAAGAGTTCAGCATAAACACAAGCAAAACTCATTCAAGCATCACCAAATCCTCATAAGCCATACGCATGCATCCCATATGCATCCCATCTGCATCCCATCCATCCACTACCCATCAACCAGGTCTCACATGCCACATGCCATGCCTCACATGCCACATGCCATGCCTCACATGCCACATGTCATGACTCACATGCCACATGCCATGACTCACATGCCACATGCCATGACTCAATGCCACATGCCATGACCCACATGCCACATGCCATGACTCACATGCCACATGCCATGACTCACATGCCACATGCCATGACTCACATGCCACATGCCATGACTCACATGCCACATGCCATGACCCACATGCCACATGCCATGACTCACATGCCACGTGCCATGACTCACATGCCACATGCCATGACTCACATGCCACATGCCATGACTCACATGCCACATGCCATGACTCACATGCCACAGTGCGCTGACAGCTTGTGTCACAAGGAGCGTTGTGAGGGTGGGCTTTCCTGATGGGGGGGTCAAGCGGTCATACACATCTGCATGCATGCACACATGCACACATGCACATGCACACATGCACACATGCACACATGCACATGCACACATGCACACATGCACACATGCACATGCACACATGCACACATGCACACATGCACATGCACACATGCACACATGCACACATGCACATGCACACATGCACACATGCACACATGCACATGCACACATGCACACATGCACATGCACACATGCACATGGACACATGCACACATCCACACATGCACATGCACACATGCATGCACACATGCACACATGCACACATGCACACATGCATACATGCATACGTGCACATGCATACATGCACACATGCACACATGCACACATGCACATGCACACATGCACACATGCACACACGCACACACGCACACATGCATACGTGCACATGCATACATGCACACATGAACACATGCACACATGCACACATGCACACATGCACACATGCACACATGCACACATGCACATGCACACATGCACACATGCACACATGCACACACGCACACATGCACACATGCACACATGCACACATGCATACATGCACATGCATAGATGCACACATGCACACATGCACACATGCACACATGCACATGCACACATGCACACATGCACACATGAACCCTAAACCCTAAACACATGCATCCATGCTCACACATACATACATATGCAGATGCATTTGCATGCGGGTACGGAAACGAGTCAGCAGTTTGCATGCATGGACAGAGAGAAAGGGCCATGATAGAATATCTAACGTGACTGTGAGTGCAAACGTGCCCCCTATGCACGGGCCTTTCAGCTGCTAACTGCACTACATGCTACAGTGGTGCACGCACTTGTAGCGCGCGAGAATGAAGGGGGGTGGGGAGGGGAGAGGGATGGGGAGGGGAGAGGGATGGGGAGGGGAGGGGAGGGGAGGGGAGGGGAGGGGAGGGGAGGGGAGGGGAGGGGAGGGGAGGGAATGGGATGGGAGGGAAGGGGAGGGAATGGTAGGGGAGGGAAGAGGAGGGCAGGGCAGGGAGGGGAAGGGGCGAGTGGGGGACGCACAGGTGCGCAGCCAGTTGCTGACTCCGATGTTCCAGTGCGATGGCAGCTGCGCTCCACTGCCCGTGACCTCCACCACCCAGATATTTGCGTTGCTCGCCCTGCTCCTGTGAGGTGCACGGCGAGGAGCAGGGAGCAGCAGGGGCAGGGATAGGGAGCAGGACGCATGGAAACACAGGGCACACGGAAACAGTGGGGGGCAGGGGGGCAAGCACGCACTGCCTGTGACCTCCACCACCGATATGTGTGCATTGCTCGCCCTGCTCCTGTTGGGTGCCGTGAGGGAAACACAGGGCACACGGAAACAGTGGGGGGCAGGGGGGCACGCACGCGTGAGAACACGGAGAACATAGAAAGAAAGGATGAGAGGGAGCACTTAGGGGGGCGCGGGCAGTGGGAAACTCCTGAGAGAGGCAGAGGGGGGGTTGTCAACTGCAGACAAACGGTCGAGACAGAAAAGCCACACACAGGTTGTTTCATGCCATGCCATGCCGTGCCATGCCGTGCCATGCCATGCCGTGCCATGCCATGCCATGCCCCGCTGCCATCCATTTCAAGCCAAGGTGCAACCGACTGACCAGTCTGCTTCCAGCCGCTGCTGCTGCTTCTGCCCGCCTTCTCCTTCCCTCCCCTCCCCATCCTTGCCCTCCCGACCACCCTCCCCATGGCCTGGCTTGGCGGGCTTAAAGCCCGAGAAGCCGAAGGCGGAGAGAATGAGGGCGGATTCAGCGACGGCCCAGACGAAGTAGAACATCCAGCGATACGCAAAGAGGGTTAACGCCACCTGCGCGCACCTGCATGGTGTGGGGGGGGGAGGGTGGGGGATAGCTGAGAGTGTCAAGAGATGGACCGGATGAAGTAGGGCATCCAGCGGTACGCTAAGAGCGTTAGCGCCACCTGCCCGCCCCTGCCGTACGCACGTTGGGGGGGGTGTGTTGAAAACCTTAGCAGACAGCCAGACGAAGTAGAACATCCAGCGGTAGGCAAAGAGCGTTAGCGCCACCTGCCCGTCGCTGCATGGTGTGGTGTGGTGTGGTGTGCACACGGAGAGTGGGGCATCTCTGTGCATGCTTGCTTGCTAACAGGCGGCCCAGATGCAGTAGAACGTCCAGCGGTATGCAATGAGCGTGAGCACCACCTGCGCGCACCTGCGCAGTGGGAGGGTCCAGACGGGGTCAGGCATCCAATGGTGTGGCAGGAGGGTGAGTGGCACGTGAGGGTGAGTGCCACGTGCACCTTCCTACCTGCCATGGGCGCGGTGGGTGGGGTTCATGCCGGCACATGGGATGGGAGGGACGGGCACAGAAAGAGAGAGTTGGTAACCCCTGCACCCAGGTGCCTGTTTTGAAACGTTTCAAAACACTTCTTTTATCAGGAGAGTGCCACGTTGCACCTTCCTACCTGCCATGGGCGCGGTGGGTGGGGTTCATGCCAGCACATGGGATGGGAGAGAGGGGCACAGAAACAGGAAGTCGGCAACCCCTGCACCCACGTGCGTGGTGGGGGGAGAGAAGAGCAAGGCGCGGTGAGACGTGAGTGCACTGGCGCAGAGCGCGGGTGGAGTGGACAGAGGGCGGTGGGAGGAGGGAGGGCAGTGGGTGGAGGGAGGGCGGTGGGTGGATAGAGGGAGGTGGGTGGAAAGGGGCAGAGGGAGGGGCAGCTCACCGGATGAGGAAGGGGCGAGCAAAGAAGGCGGGCTGGGTGAGCGCAGAGGGTGGGAGGAGCTGAGAGAGCGTGTGGTAGACGGCCATGCACAGCAGCGCCTTGAGCAGCGCCCCGCATGCTGGCAGCAGGCGTGGAGGGAAGGCGGGGCCGGCTGGTGCGGGTGGTTGCTGGTGGGGGTAGAGCGTGGACCAGTGCTGCACGTTGGGAGCAGAGGGGAGCAAAGAGATGACAAGTAGATGCATGAAACACTCTTTCTTTCTTTCCATGCAGAGCAGCGCCCCGCATGCTGGCAGCACTCGTGGAGGGAAGGCGGGGTAGGGTGGTGCGGACGGATGCTTGTGGGGATAGAGCGTGGCCCAGCTCTGCACGTGGGGTGCAGAGGGGTGAGGGAGGGGCGATGGAGAGAGGCGATGGAGAGGGGCGGCGGAGAGGGGAATGCAGATGAGGAACAGAGAGGGGGAACAAAGAGGGGGGATGAGAAAGGGGAACTGGGGATGGATGGGGAAGAGGAATGGGGGCACAGTGTTGTGAATGAGAGAGGGAGTCATGGCAAAGCGTGTTGTGATCCACACACATTCTCTCACCGCTCCCACCATGCACACCACTCCCACTCCTCCCCCCATCCTCATCCCTCTCATTCCTCCCACCTCTCACTCCTCTCCCACTCCTCCTCCCTCCTCACCCTCTCCCCCACTCATCCCCGCCACCTGTCCCACACTCCTCACCCCTCTTCCCTCAACATAGCCTTGGTAAGTAGCGAAGGGGAAGGGCGGCCCCATCCCTCTGACCCCTCACACCTCACCCACCCCTCCCACCAACCCCACACTCCTCACCGCTCTTCCCTCAACGCAGTCATGGTAAGCAGCGAAGGGGAAGGGTGGGCCCAAGGGGAAGGAAGCCCTCACATCTTTCGCATCCCTCTCACCCCTCCCACCTCGCCCACCCACCCAGCACCCGCCCCCTTCTCTCACCCATCGTCCCTCAATGTAGTCGTGGTAGGCAGCAAAGGGGAAAGGCGGCCCCACGAGCAGGGCAGAGGTGACTCTTCACCCCTCCTCCCACCCCGCCTCCCACCCCTCCCACCCAACCCACCCGCCCCCTTATCTCACCCCTCGTCCCTCAACGTAGTCGTGGTAAGCAGCAAAGGGGAAGGGCGGCCCCACGAGGAAGGCAGCAGGGAAGAAGACAAACCCCAGGAACGGCAGCAGGGGGGGCACGCGAGGGAGCGCATTGGGGGAGGCGCTGCTGGCACGCTGGGGATGGGCGGATGGGGAGGAAGGGGGAAAAGGAGAAAGGAGGCGGGAGGGAGTGGAGGATGAGGGCCGGAGGGGAGGGGCGGGTGGGGAGAGAAATGTGAGGGTAAGGATGTAGGGAAGAGGGAGGAAAGGCGTTGATGGGGTGGGGAGAAGCAGAGCGCGTGGGTTGTGCATGAGGGGGAGGCAGAGCACGTGGGTTGTGCATGAGGGGGAGGCAGAGGCCGTGCGGATGGGAAGGGCGGAGCACACACGAGGAGTGGATGGTGCTGCAGCGGTATGCCAAGTGAATGAAAAAAGATAACAAAGAGTTGATGTGCGGATGAGATTGCTGGTAGCAGGTCTGAGCGCGCTGCTGCCTGTGCCTGATTGCCATTCCACTCGTGTGTGTGTGAACCAGCATGCCATGCCATGCCATGCAACGCAATGCCATGCACGCGGTGATGAGCATGAGAGCGCGAAGGACAATGATGCATCAGCATGAGAATCAGCATGAGCATCAGCATGAGAATCAGCATGAGCATCAGCATGAGAATCAGCATGAGCATCAGCATGAGAATCAGCATGAGCATCAGCATGAGAATCAGCATGAGCATGAGCATGAGCATGAGCATGAGCATGAGCATGAGCATCAGCATGAGCATGAGCATGAGCATGAGCATGAGCATGAGCATGAGCATGAGCATGAGCATGAGCATGAGCATGAGCATGAGCATGAGCATGAGCATGAGCATCAGCATCAGCATCAGCATGAGCATGAGCATGAGCATGAGCATGAGCATGAGCATGAGCATGAGCATCAAACACTCAAAAGGCACGTACTGCCGGCCTTCCGTCCTTCTGCACCATGCTGCCGCCCTCCTGCCCCTTGCCGTCCTGCCCCTTGCCGTCCTGCCCCTTGCCCTCCTGCCCCTTGCCGTCCTGCCCCTTGCCGTCCTGCCCCTTGCCGTCCTGCCCCTTGCCGTCCTGCCCCTCCCTCCTGCCCTGCTGCAGGGTGCCGTCCTGGCAGTCCATAGCAGCCCCCACGAGCTTGAGAGTGACGATCATGAGTGTGCCCGTGAAGTCCCTCAGATGGCACTTACTGGCGGTTTGTCGTCCTGCTCCCTGCCGTCCTGCTGCCCCATGCTGCCGTCCTGCTGCCCCATGCTGCCGTCCTGCTGCCCCATGCTGCCGTCCTGCTGCCCCATGCTGCCGTCCTGCTGCCCCATGCTGCCGTCCTGCTGCCCCATGCTGCCGTCCTGCTGCCCCATGCTGCCGTCCTGGCAGTCCATAGCAGCCCCCACGAGCTTGAGAGTGACGATCATGAGTGTACCCGTGAAGTCGATGTCTCCCCTCCTCCACGCACTCGCGTCTAGACTCGTTGCGTGGCTGGTGGGACCAGGCATGGGTGCATGGGGGGGGCATGGGGACATGGGAGTATAACGGAAGGAGGGGGACGAGGCATGAAGGCATGGGGGCATGAGGGCATGGGGGGGGTACGGGGGCATATGGAGGTACGGGACGGGGTCATGGGGGGTAATGGGGGCATGGGGGGGTTATGGGGGCATGAGTATGGGGGGCATGGGATGCATGGAGGGGTATGGGGGCATGGGGAGGTATGGAGGCATGGGGGGATATTGCTAACGTACGAAAATAGTAGCTAGAAACATGGTGAGAGTTACGAGAGCATGAGAATGGCCAAAAAGAGGGTTTTCAGTATATAGCGAGAGGTACACCAGGCATAACCACACTAAACTACACAGGAAGCAGTTTATAGAAAAATACATTCAACAGATATGGGGGTGATAGGGGGCATGGGGAGCATGAGGGTGATAGGGGGCATGGGGGTATGGTATGCTATGAGCAGAACGGAGGCACGGTGTGGCATGGGGAACATAGAAGAGCGATGCGGGAAAGAAAGCGAGTGAAGGGGTAGCGCAGGAAGGGTAGTATGGGAGGGAGCATGGAAGGCTGGGGGCGAGGAAGAAGGGGGCGAGGAAGAAGGGGGCGAGGAAGAAAGGGACGAGGAAGAAGGGGACGAGGAAGAAGGGGACGAGGAAGAAGGGGGCGGACCAGAAGATGAGGAAGGCGAAGGCAGCGAGGAAGACAAGGTAGCCGGAGAGGCGGCGAGGCAGGGCGACCATGAGCGCGTAGCACGCGAGAGTAACGCCCCATATGGCCGCACTCGCTGCTCACTTGGCGGATGGGCGGATGGGCGGATGGGCGGATGGGCGGATGGGCGGATGGGCGGATGGGCGGATGGGCGGATGGGCGGATGGGCGGATGGGCGGATGGGCGGATGGGGGGCGAGGGGTAGAGGGGTTATGAGAGGGGTTATGAGAGGTGAGCGAGGGTGTAGGCAGGGCGCACATGGGCGCGTGGGATGTGGGGGTGAGCCTCCATGGCGCCACACTCGCTGCAGAGCTAGAATGTGACCGCTCTCTACTTCTTGGGCACACCTGCGTCCTCTCTGTGTGTTGTTGCCTCACACCACATGGCCCTACCACGACAGGCATCAACAGCACAACACACGCACCATGCAATTCCACCCCCTTCTCCCCTGCTTCTCCCGTTCTCTTCAATTCAACTGCACCTTATCTACTTCGCGACTCCCTGCCCGCCCAAGCAGCACCCTGCCAGGCGTGACGTGCCAAGCAGCACCCTGCCAGGCGTGACGTGCCAAGCAGCACCCTGCCAGGCGTGGCGTGCCATGCACGGCACCACCCGCGCTCGTTGCTGCCACCCACCCCTCTTCCAATGCACCCCCTCTCCTGCAACCCGCACTAACCCACCCTCGCCCCTGCCCATCGCCCCTCCAAACCCCACCCACCAAGCCATCCACTACCCAAGAGCCACCCATTCTCTTTCCCCTTTCCCGACTCGCTCCGTCTCTTTCCTTCCTATCCCTTTCGTCTCCATTTCCTCTCCTTTCCTCCCTCCACACCCGTAACCTTCCCTCTCTTCTTCCCTCCGCTACCATTGTCCCCATTCCCACAACCTCGGACCCTCCCACCGCTTCCTCCCCCTTCTGCCTCCGCCATTCCCCCTACGTCACTCCCCATCGTCCCGCTCTCCTCACCCCTCTCTCCCCCACCATGCGCACCTCTCAGTCCGTCATACGCGAACCAACACGTGGCAGCGCCGACGGCGACATTGTACACGTGGCGGGCGGAGGGGGAGGGGAGGAGCGGCACGAGCGCAGCGGCGGGGATGGAGGAGAAGAGGCAGGCGAGGAAGGTGAGTAGCGGCAGGGACACGCCGAACAGCGTCGCAGGGGAGTCATCTGCGACCATCGCGTGCGACCGAATCGGTCGCAGTGTGTGTGCGACAGGCAGACGGGGGACAGGTGGACGTGCGATGGGAACGGCGGTCAAGGCCGCGACAGCGTGCGAAGGTTGGGCGACGGCGTGCGAATAATGTGAAAGATGGACCGCGGGGGTCACGCGCGTGGAAGTGAAACCTGTGGCGGCGACGGTGTTGGCGAAAATCGATGAGATGGGATCAATCTCGTGTGGTGCCACGGGGAGCTTGGGGGCTGGCTTTGTGTCGCGTCGGGCGGAGGCTGAAAGGGAGTGTGGGATGGGACGAGGTGAGACAAACTCGTTTTAGAGTGAACACGGGTTTAGGTACATGTAGGTTGATTATGCTTGATCAGTCTGGTTAAACTCACTGCTAAACCGACACTGATTTGGAAATTGTAGCACGTTTCCAGCGTTTTATGTAATATATAGATATAAAAAAATTGTGGATATAGAAATAATGGTTAGCAATTGAACCGCTAGATGAAGAATTTGCAAATATTAGTTTCAGCTGTATGGAAACTCTGATAACAACAAAGAACTATATTATCGACAGAGTGTAGTTGCCGAAAAAAACCAATCGCTTCTGGTTCTCCCCTCCCGAGCCGCTCAATTATTGGGGCATTTCAACCGTGTGTTACGGCAGGACAGCCCAACATTATTGCTGCTTTCCCACCCGCTGTACTTCGCCCAGTCCTCAAAATTATTGCTACTGAAGTCTTGTCTCAAGTCGTTGAAGCGCCGCGGAAAGGGGATTTATGCTTATCCTTCTGATCTTGGCAAACTAGCATACGAGCAAAATTTAGATGTGCGATCAGCCGCAGCAAGGAACAATAATTCACGCTTCGCGCTTTCCTACCGTCTGATTCGTCCAAGGCTTCTCTGGGCGCCTCAAGGACGAAATTGTTCAGAGACAGTCCATCCAGATATACAGTAACCATGGCGCTAGAGGGTTCTCGTCCGTACTATGCGTTGAAAAATGGAATCGCCCTCACAACGCGCGCGGAAAGACTCTCAAATAGATCCGCGACGCGTGCGCAGCGAGTTTCAGAGCATCGTTTTGGCGCGTCCACTGCATGGTTGCAAGAAGAGGCGCAGGAGTCGTGCGGCTCGGGAAATTGCGATGTGGCGCGAAGCTGCGCTGACGGCGGGTGGGACGGCGACGAGGGGGAGAGCATGGGCGACAGCGTGGCGTGCGGCGGAAAGAGCGTCAGCGGCTGCCACGTGGCTGACCACGTGGTTTTCCGTAGAATCGACTCTCAGCACAGTGATGCGCCTTCGTTTCTCCGACTCCCACCATTGGCCGAACGGATCGCGACCGCTCCGAATTTTGGCCCGCGGCATTCGGGAGAACCGCGTCCGCACCGCGCATCGACGTGGTCTTCTAATGCGGCCCACTCGAGGAATGAAACCGACGGCGGAGATGCGGGGCATGGTTGGCACTTGCTAATCAACGGCGACAGTGAGGCCAAACTGTCGCCAGGTGCGGGAGGCTGCGACAAACCGTTCGTCGTCGCTGCGGACTGTGCGATCTCAACGACGCCCGCCGCAGCTGTCCCTCATCTCTCGGCGAGCGACGCTGGCGACACGACACCACGCACCGCGACTTACGGAAACTCCGGGTCGTGCCGCCCGCCTGACACGTGGCACGATAAGCACCTGCTGTGGTCTCCCTTCGGCGACTCCTTGCTCATGCCGGGCGCTTCGCCGAGCCTGTCGCCGAGACTGTCGCCGAGACTATCGCCGAGACTGTCGCCGAGACTGTCGCCGAGTCTGTCGCCAAGACTGTCGCTGGCGGCGTTGGATAGCGTCGTTTTGGGGGACGAGCTGTGGCGGAGCATCGAGCGACTCGACGGGCGCAGCGACGACGAAGAGGGATGCAACGACGAGCGGCGCGGCGCGCAGGAGGGGTGCGGCGCGGAGGAGGGGTGCGACTCCGGCAATGACGGCGCGACGCCGTGGGACGACGTGGTGAAAGACCTCTTCCCTGAGCTGCATGCCGCCCATGATGCCGCCCAAGATGCCGCCCATGATGCCGCCCATGACGCCGCCGCGCCTCCGCCTTCGCCGCCGCCGGCCACGTCGGATATGGTGTTGCAGGATTTGGCTATTCCGTCTCCCCCTGCTCCCCCCTCCCCTCTCTCCGCCTCCCCCTCCCTCTTCGGCTCTCTCCCCGCCGCTAGCATCGCGCCGCCCCCCTCCGCCTGCGCGCGAGCAGATTCCCCGCCTCCGGATGCCGCGCAGCGGCCTCTCGCCGACAGCGAGCCCATCGGCGACGCGACGAGGCTGGCGCGCGGGGCGTCGCATACCGCGGGAGCAGCTCCGCCGCTCCTCCACGCGCGGGCGGCTGACGGCCACGACCGCCGCGCTTGCGCACTGCTCGCGCTGCCTTCTGCGGCTGCGCACATCCCGCCTCCGCCAGGCGCGCAGAAACGGCGGGCGGACGTGCTGGGAAAGGGCGAGGGCGTGCGGACTGGTCTCGTTGAGACGCCGTCTGCCTCGAGACGCAGCGGGGGCGCAAGCGCCACCAGCGCTGGCGGTGGTGCTGATTGGCAGGGTCCCGTGCACACAGGAGGCGGGAGTGTGAGGCCTGGCCCGCCCTCGCCCCTCCTTCTCCCACCCCTCGCTCTTCCGCACTCCTCTCCCCCTGTCCTCACAACCCCTTCCCCCACCTTTTCAGCGCTCACGCTCCCTTCCCCCCTCGCGCTCCCTACGCCATCCACGCCCTTCCTGCCTGACCGCGCGCTCCCTACCGCCACTGCACCTCCCCGTCAACCCTCACCCGCGCACCCTCCCGCCAACCCCTCACGCGCACGCAGCCCTGCTACCGCCGCGGGCCACCCCCGGCGCAGTCAAGGAACGGCTGAGAGGCCAGCCTGCGGAGCTTTGGTGGGGACAGCTGTGGGGGGAGGAGCAGCCATGGGAGGAGGAACAGCAATGGCAGGGAGAGCAGCAGTGGGCATCAGGAAAATCGTGGGCGCACACACAGAGGCGCTGGGATTGCGAGGAGTGGGCAAGGCAGAGGCACCAACGGCTGTGGAGATGACGGCAGGGGCAGCAGCGGTGGTGGCGCCAGCAGCATCGATAGCATTGGTGGGTGCGGTAAGCACACGCACAACTCCAGATGCCACCGCGACAGCAGCAGAGAGAGAGATGGCAACAGGAAGAGAGACAACAGCAGCAGCAGCAGCAGCAGCACGAGGCAAGAGGAGGCTCAGCAGAGCCTACCAAGGCAGCAGGCGGGGCAGGCAGCACGGCAGGCGAGGGGCAGGCGGGGGGAAAGCGGCGGAAGGTGGGGGTTGGGGGGCGCGTGTGCATGTCAGCGGAAGCAGCGGCGGCACTGGAGGAGTACCGGGAGAAGGCAGCACAGCGGCAGCGGCGGGGCACTGCCATGGACGCCCAGAGCGTGGCTGCCAGGCGCAGGAGAGCCAACATCAGCAACAGAATGGGCGTGCTCAAGGTGAGCGCGCTCATTGAGCGCTCAATGAGTGCTATCTATTGCACACTGTGTGTGTGTGTTTGAGATGAGAGCGCTTGGAGTGCATTCTGTTCTGTGCCAAGTTCTCACCCGCTTTCCCTTCACCTCACACGCCGTACATCCCCATCCGTAACCCCTCTCCCATCACTCCTCCCCCTTTCTCCCCAATGCGTCCCACCAATCGTTGGTGCCAGGCAGTGCACGACTGGACACGGCATCACTGCCCTTTTGGCATCTAAATAACCCTCTCCAATCCGCCTACCCCCCTCCCCCACACATCCCCCCTCCCTCCCTCCCCATCTTTTCCCCTCCCCTCACTGCGTCCCAGCAGTCGCTGGTGCCGGGCAGTGCACGGCTGGACACGGCATCACTGCTGGAGCGAGCAGCAGCCTACATCTCCTTCCTACACGCACACTCCTTCGCTGCGGGCGCCGGGCACGCTGAGACTCTGCAGGCGCGCTTCACTGACGGGCTGGGTTGGGCGGATGATGCGGTGGAGTGCGGTGGAAGTGATGCCTGTGGTGATGCTGCTGCTACTGCTGATGCTGCTGTTGCTGTTGCTGGTGGGGATGGTGTTGTTGCTACTGGTGCTGCTTGTGGGGATGGGGTTGCAGGAGCGGATGACATGGAGTGCATGGACGGTTAATCTGACACCTCATTTAATGACATACATGACACAGGCACAGACATGAACAAGAGGTTCGATGCCATGTGCGTACATAGGTAGGCGTTGAATCATTTATAGCGGGAGCTGCTGCTCTGTGTACCAGAAGGGAGCCTCAGAAGCAGTGGGTATGATGCAGTGCATAGTTGCACATATTGTTGCATCTCTCTCACCCAACTCCTGTAACCTCACTACTATTTATTGAAATAAACAGTTTTGCTGCGGCCACATCATGCTTCGTTACAGTCACATTTTCGGCAGCGGGCGCAGCGGCAGGTCCCAACACCTGCCTGCCATACGGTACCATCCCACCATTTACTGTAGAAATAAAGCTTTACGCTGCGACGCACATCATGCTTTGTAACAGTCACTAACTGCAGCGAGCACAGGGGCAGGCCCCGGTGGGAGAAAAGAAACCAGCAGTGGAGGAGCCCCACCCGCCACCATCAACAACCCCACCGCCACCACCGCTGCCGCCAGACCCAAGATGGCTTTTGAGTCAACCCAAAAGTCATTTCGGCAGCGAGCGTAGAGGCAGGCCGCGGTGTGAGAAAAGAAACCGGCGGCGCCTGTGCCCCACCATCATGAGCAGCCCGCCCAGTAGCACCACCGCCACCACTGCCGCTGCCAGCGCCGCACTGCTTCCCATGCCCACCGCCCACATCACCTCATCGCTGCTCAACACCCCCCCTGCTGCCGCCGCCGCTGCTGCCTGCTGCCGTGAAGGCAGCACCAGAGACGGATCATCTGCCCCCCCTGCCTGTGCTCCTCTCTTCTTCCCTCCCCTCGCCGCTGCATTCCGGTCTGTCTCTTTGTCCGTGATGTCTCCTGCCTTGCTGCCCCAGTGCCAGGGTAGCCACGCGGTGAGCCCCGAGGGGTGCGGGGGCGGTGGGGTCAGGGAGCGGGTTTGGAAGATGGAGGGGGCGTGGAGGGCAGGCGGGGAGGAGGGGCGGAGGAGGACGTGGAGCAGCGTGGGGCGGCCTGCTAGCACTGTGACGTTGGTGGTGTGGCTCATGTGGTCGGGGTGTGATATGGTCACTGAGGTGGGAAAGGGGGGGGGAACGGAGGGGAAAGGGTGGGGGGACGAAAGGGTGGAGGGGTGGTGGCATACAGGGGAGTAGGAGCGGAGGGGCGGAGAAGGACGAGTGAGAGGGTGGGGCGGCCTGCAAGCACTGTGACGTTGGTGGTAAGGTTGATGTGGCCACGGTGTGATATGGTCGTTGGAGGGGGGCAGTGGGTAGAAGGGAAGGTAGAGGGTTGCAGGGTTGGAGGGGTAGAGCTTTGGGTTTCAGGAATAAGGTTTAGGGTGAAGGGGTAGAGGGGTGAAGGGTAGAGGGGTGAAGGGGTAGAGGGGTAAAGGCGAGGACGCAGGGAGAGAAGGGCAGTGGCAGGGAAGTGGGTTCGAGACAAGGGGTGACGGGCACATACGCTCACTAGAGTGGAGAGAAAGACAGGACAGTAAAACGAGAGAGGCCGAGGTGGAGGAAACTTGTCAGTGCACGCATGGGGAGGCTATGTGACATCTTTGAAATCCAGAAAAAAACTTCAACATTAGACCGTGGCACCTGCTCTCCCTCAAACCACCCACACTTGCCCATCTAGGCCCCCCAAACCCACCTGCCCAGATACCACCCCATACCCACGAGCCGGGCAGTCCATTCCCCCACCTGTGTAGTTGCCTGGCGGCAGCAGGCGGTAGAAATCCCCAAAGCGCTTCGACGCCATCACCTGAGGGCCATGGACGGGGGGAGATGGACGTGTAGTGTTAGCCGGGGGGGGATGGACGTGTAGTGTTAGCAGGGGGGGGGATGGACGGGGGGGAAGGGGACGAGTATAGCGGCATGGGCATGGGGAGGGGCATGGGGAAGGGCATGGGGAAGGGTATGGGGTGGGGCATATGGAAGTGCCTAAGTTGGTAAGTAAAGTACACAATTTTCGTATTATACGCTAACGAGAAACACAGTGGGATACACTAAATACGGAGGCTCAGGCAGGCTAAGAAAAGGAAATGGAATTCGGGTAAGGAGGGGGAGTGGGAGGGGTGCAAAGCAGCATGAATCCGCATGTTCGGATACGCTTTTTCTTTTTGCGCAGGCGTATTATACGAGAAAGGCGTATCTGACAACATAGCTCGGGATTGGTAGAAGGCCAGAAAATGCTAGGATAGGTGGGGGAGAAACAGAACGTGACAAATAAGATGAGCAGCGCGCTGCTGTGATGGGGGCTCTATGGATGTACCGCTGATGCATGTGGCAAAAAATATGATGCTGTTCTTGTTGGACATGCACCCATACACCCGTGCACCCACACACACATGCACCCATGCAACCTTGCACCCATGCACCCATGCACCCCCATGCCCCCATGCACCCCCATGCGCCCATGCACCCATCCACCCATGCAGCATGCAGTGACGGCGACAGGAGTGCAGGCAGGAAGGTGCAGAGCGGCTGACCTGGATGTCGATGCCCAGCACAGCGATGGTGGCAGGCAGCGTTGAGGTGGCCAAGGGGTGTGGTGTGGTGTGGTGTGGTGTGGTGTCGTGTCGTGTGGTGTGGTGTGGTGTGGTGTGGTGTGGTGTGGTGTGGTGTGGTGTGGTGTGGTGTGGTGTGGTGTGGTGTGGTGTGGAGAGCTGACCTGGATGTCGATGCCATGCACAGCGATGGTGGCGGGCAGGGGCGCTGACGTGGCTGCAGACAGCACCGTGCCCTGCACCCCCATCTGTCGTGTATGGGATGGCAGCGTGGTGGGCGGCAGCACGGTGGGTGGTAGCATGGTGGGCAGCAGCACGGTGGGTGGTAGCATGGTGGGCGGCAGCACGGTGGGTGGTAGCATGGTGGGCGGCAGCACGGTGGGTGGTAGCATGGTGGGCGGCAGCACGATGGGTGGTAGCATGGTGGGCGGCAGCACGGTGGGTGGTAGCATGGTGGGCGGCATGGTAAGGCAGGCCAAGGCAGTGATAGACAAGGCGATGGGCATGCGGACAGGCATGCGGGCAGGGAGAGGGAAAAAGAAGTCAGATGGAGGCTGAAAGAGGATCAGGGCGTGCTGAAAGGATCTAGTCTTGCATGGCACGGCATAGCATGGCATGACACGGCGTGACATGACATGCCTAGCGTCAAATAGAACTCACATGGCATAGTATGATGTGTAGTGTTTATGATGATTGCTGGATGGGCTGTTAAGTGTCATTGTGGATGGCATGGCATGGCATGGCATGGCATGGCATAGCACGGCACGGCATAGCATGGCACGGCACGGCATGGCACGGCATGGCATGGCACGGCATGGCATGGCATGGCATGGCACGGCACGGCATGGTAAAGCATGGTAAGGCACGGCATGGCATGGTATGGCATGGCATGGTATGGCATGGCATGGCATGGCATGGCACGGCATGGCACGGCATGGCAAGGCAAGCCACAGCAAGGCACGGCATGGCATGGCATGGAATGAGGAGTGGACCTTGGCGGTGGTGGTGAGGAGGGCGAGCAGGGCCGGTCGGTGCTCCTCCCACAGCTGAGGCAGCTGCTCGCCACGCAGGGATGTGACATGGGGGGCAGGGCGGAGGGGGCAGAGCAGAGGGGGGCAGCGCGGAGGGGGCAGAGCGGAGGGGGCAGAGCGGAGGGGGGAAGAGAAGAGGGGGAAGGGCGGAGGGGGGAAGAGAAGAGGGGGCAGGGCGGAGGGGGGAAGAGAAGAGAGAGAGGGGGCAGAGCGGAGAAGAGAGGGCAGAAAGGGGCAGAGCAAAGGGAAAGGGCACACAGGGAAGGGCAAGGATTAGACAGCATCAAGAGGGGAGCAGGGAGAGGAAAAGGCAAGACGAGACGGCAAGGATGAGGAAGGGGAAGAGATCAGACGATGCATGAGGGGGAAAATGACGCTTGAAATAAAAGGGGGGTATGGGAGCATGCATCATGTCAATTTGAATGAACACGCGCAATGCAAGAGGACACGCAGGAATCAGGCATACGAGGAAGGGCGAGGATATACAAAAGAAGGGCGAGGCTATACAAAAGAAGGGCGAGGCTATACAAAAGAAGGGCGAGGCTATACAAAAGAAGGGCGAGGCCCTACAAAAGAAGGGCGAGGCCCTACAAAAGAAGGGCGAGGCTATACAAAAGAAGGGCGAGGCTATACAAAAGAAGGGCGAGGCTATACAAAAGAAGGGCGAGGCTATACAAAAGAAGGGCGAGGCTATACAAAAGAAGGGCGAGGCCCTACAAAAGAAGGGCGAGGCTATACAAAAGAAGGGCGAGGCCCTACAAAAGAAGGGCGAGGCTATACAAAAGAAGGGCGAGGCTATACAAAAGAAGGGCGAGGCTATACAAAAGAAGGGCGAGGCTATACAAAAGAAGGGCGAGGCTATACAAAAGAAGGGCGAGGCTATACAAAAGAAGGGCGAGGCTATACAAAAGAAGGGCGAGGCTATACAAAAGAAGGGCGAGGCTATACAAAAGAAGGGCGAGGCTATACAAAAGAAGGGCGAGGCTATACAAAAGAAGGGCGAGGCTATACAAAAGAAGGGCGAGGGCATACAAGGAATGGGGAGGGCATACGAGAGCAGCAGCAAGAGAGTGAGGGGGACAAGCGGCATACGAGGAAGGGCGAGGGCCACTTGGCGATGTGCAGCTCAAGTGTGATCTCCATGCAGCGCGCCTCCACGTAGTTCCAGTCCTGCATTCCCCCGTACAACGGGTACCTGCACGCATGGGGGGGTGCAAAGACATGGACGCATGGTGGGGGCTTAGCGGAGGCATGGGGGAGGCATGGGGGAGGCATGGGGGAGGCATGGGGGAGGCATAGGGGAGGCATGGGGGAGGGAGGCATGGGGGAGGGAGGCATGGGGGAGGGAGGCATGGGGGAGGCATGGGGGAGGGAGGCATCGGGTAGGTGTGGGGGGACAAGGGGGAGGCATGGAGGAGGCTTTGGGCAAGGCATGGGGGAGGGAGGCATGGGGTAGGTGTGGGGGCGCATGGGGGGCGATGGGGTATGTATGGGGGAGGAAAGAAGACAAGAGGTGGCACATTGAGCAGTCTTTCCCAGGCCCCCACCCACAATTGCACTCAACTCCGCCCAACCACCACCACTCTCTTCACTCAACCCCACCCGCTCCCACTCTTGCCCAGCCCAGCCCTCCCCAGACCTCCCCAGCCCCCTCCCCTCCCTTCTCCTTTCCCAACCCCAGCCGCTCCCCCCAGGGCGCACTACCAGGAGGCACCGTTGGTGATGCCGCCGGGGAAGTCACGGGAGAGAGCCATGGAGGGGTGGGCCTGGGCATAGGTGGACGCCATCAGACGGAACGTGGCGTCGTCCGGTGATGCAGCGTAGTGCGTGCTGCTCTGGTGGCACGGGGGCGAGGGGGGAGGTGGGGAGCGTGGGGAGGAAAGAGGGGAGGTTGGGGGGAGTTGGAAAGGGAGAGATGGGTTCATGGGATGAGGGTGAGAAGTGACAGAGAGGAGCGGGAGTGGGGAGGAGGAGAGCATGCGTGGACGAGTGGGAGTTTATGCGAGAGAGCCATGGAGGGGTGGGCCTCGGCATAGGTGGCCGCTGTTAGGCGAAACGTCGCGTCGTCTGGCAACGCAGCGTAGTGCGTGCTGCTCTGGTGGCACGGGGGCGAGGGGTTGGAGGGAGGGGGGTTGTTGCGGGGTGAGGGAAGAGGATGGGGGGTTTGAAATGGGGGTTTATGGGATGAAGATGAGAAGTGGAGAGTGATGTGGTTGAGTGGGGGGAGGGAGGGGAGTGTGGGGGGAGAAAAATGGAGGGGGAGGCAGAATAAACAAACGACAGCACAGCACAGGGAACAAGAAAACGGATGCAAGAAAGGAAAGATAGGAAAGATAGGAAAGAGAGGAAAGAGAGGAAAGAGAGGAAAGAGAGGAAAGAGAGGAAAGAGAGGAAAGATAGGAAACAGACAGGGCGATGCATGGCAGCACATGAGTGGGTTGGGTTGGGGTGGGCAAGGGCTGGGTGGGGTGGGCAAGGGCTGGTTGGGGTGGGCAAGGGCTGGTTGGGGTGGGCAAGGGCTGGTTGGGGTGGGCAAGGGCTGGTTGGGGTGGGCAAGGGCTGGTTGGGGTGGGCAAGGGCTGGGTGGGGTGGGCAAGGGCTGGTTGGGGTGGGCAAGGGCTGGGTGGGGTGGGCAAGGGCTGGTTGGGGTGGGCAAGGGCTGGTTGGGGTGGGCAAGGGCTGGTTGGGGTGGGCAAGGGCTGGTTGGGGTGGGCAAGGGCTGGGTGGGGTGGGCAAGGGCTGGGTGGGGTGGGCAAGGGCTGGGTGGGGTGGGCAAGGGCTGGGTGGGGTGGGCAAGGGCTGGGTGGGGTGGGCAAGGGCTGGTTGGGGTGGGCAAGGGCTGGGTGGGGTGGGCAAGGGCTGGTTGGGGTGGGCAAGGGCTGGTTGGGGTGGGCAAGGACAGTACCCTTTGTCCTGGGTGCCGTCCCATGCATAGCTCGCCACCAGTGCTCCCTGCGTGGGGGACAGAGGGGACAAAGGTGAGTTGGAAATGGGGAATGATGAATGCAGGAATCAGGAATGCAGGAATGAATGATGAATGCAGGAATCAGGAATGCAGGAATGAATGATGAATGCAGGAATCAGGAATGCAGGAATGAATGATGAATGCAGGAATCAGGAATGCAGGAATGAATGATGAATGCAGGAATCAGGAATGCAGGAATGAATGATGAATGCAGGAATCAGGAATGCAGGAATGAATGATGAATGCAGGAATCAGGAATGCAGGAATGAATGATGAATGCAGGAATCAGGAATGCAGGAATGAATGATGAATGCAGGAATCAGGAATGCAGGAATGAATGATGAATGCAGGAATCAGGAATGCAGGAATGAATGATGAATGCAGGAATCAGGAATGCAGGAATGAATGATGAATGCAGGAATCAGGAATGCAGGAATGAATGATGAATGCAGGAATCAGGAATGCAGGAATGAATGATGAATGCAGGAATCAGGAATGCAGGAATGAATGATGAATGCAGGAATCAGGAATGCAGGAATGAATGATGAATGCAGGAATCAGGAATGCAGGAATGAATGATGAATGCAGGAATCAGGAATGCAGGAATGAATGATGAATGCAGGAATCAGGAATGCAGGAATGAATGATGAATGCAGGAATCAGGAATGCAGGAATGAATGATGAATGCAGGAATCAGGAATGCAGGAATGAATGATGAATGCAGGAATCACGGGGGACGGGAAGAGCAGCGGGAGCAGCAGCAGCAGCAGCAGCAGCAGCAGCAGCAGCGGCAGCAGCAGCAGCAGCAGCAGCAGCAGCAGCAGCAGCAGCAGCAGCGGCAGCAGCAGCAGCAGCAGCAGCAGCAGCAGCAGCAGCAGCAGCAGCAGCGGCAGCAGCAGCAGCAGCAGCAGCAGCAGCAGCAGCAGCAGCAGCAGGAGTTGGATGGGCACCGTGGGTGTCTCGAATGCACGTTCTAGTGCAATGCACCTGCGCAATGCAATGCACCGTGGTTCTAGTGCAGCTTCTGCAGCGCTTCAAAGCTAGTGCAATGCACCCAGGTGTGTTTTGAGTCGACTCAAAACACACCGGGCACAGTGGGTCTCTCAAATGCACGTTCTAGTGCAATGCACTGCGCCCCAAACTTCAGCTTTGGAAGTTGATCACGTACCAGAATGACACGGCAACTATCATCGCCTTCCCTCATCCCTAGCCCACCCCCTGCTGCACTCACCCCCTGCTGCACTCACCTCCTGCTGCACTCACCCCCTGCTGCACTCACCCCCTGCTGCACTCACCCCCTGCTGCACTCACCTCCTGCTGCACTCACCTCCTGCTGCACTCACCCCCTGCTGCACTCACCCCCTGCTGCACTCACCCCCTGCTGCACTCACCCCCTGCTGCACTCACCCCCTGCTGCACTCACCCCCTGCTGCACTCACCCCCTGCTGCACTCACCCCCTGCTGCACTCACCCCCTGCTGCACTCACCCCCTGCTGCACTCACCCCCTGCTGCACTCACCCCCTGCTGCACTCACCCCCTGCTGCACTCACCTCCTGCTGTACTCACCTCCTGCTGCACTCACCTCCTGCTGCACTCACCCCCTGCTGCACTCACCCCCTGCTGCACTCACCCCCTGCTGCACTCACCCCCTGCTGCACTCACCCCCTGCTGCACTCACCCCCTGCTGCACTCACCCCCTGCTGCACTCACCCCCTGCTGCACTCACCTCCTACTGAACTCACCTCCTGCTGCACTCACCTCCTGCTGCACTCACCCCCTGCTGCACTCACCCCCTGCTGCACTCACCCCCTGCTGCACTCACCCCCTGCTGCACTCACCCCCTGCTGCACTCACCCCCTGCTGCACTCACCCCCTGCTGCACTCACCCCCTGCTGCACTCACCTCCTGCTGCACTCACCTCCTGCTGCACTCACCTCCTGCTGCACTCACCCCCTGCTGCACTCACCCCCTGCAGCCCTGCCCCCGCCCCTCGCCCCGTGCAGGTCTCGCCCCGTGCAGGTCTCACCCCGTGCAGGTCTCACCCCGTGCAGGTCTCACCCCGTGCAGGTCTCACCCCGTGCAGGTCTCACCCCGTGCAGGTCTCACCCCGTGCAGGTCTCACCCCGTGCAGGTCTCACCCCGTGCAGGTCTCACCCCGTGCAGGTCTCGCCCCGTGCAGGTCTCGCCCCGTGCAGGTCTCGCCCCGTGCAGGTCTCGCCCCGTGCAGGTCTCGCCCCGTGCAGGTCTCGCCCCGTGCAGGTCTCGCCCCGTGCAGGTCTCGCCCCCCGTGCAGGTCTCACCCCGTGCAGGTCTCACCCCGTGCAGGTCTCACCCCGTGCAGGTCTCACCCCGTGCAGGTCTCACCCCGTGCAGGTCTCACCCCGTGCAGGTCTCACCCCGTGCAGGTCTCACCCCGTGCAGGTCTCACCCCGTGCAGGTCTCACCCCGTGCAGGTCTCACCCCGTGCAGGTCTCACCCCGTGCAGGTCTCACCCCGTGCAGGTCTCACCCCGTGCAGGTCTCACCCCGTGCAGGTCTCACCCCGTGCAGGTCTCGCCCCGTGCAGGTCTCGCCCCGTGCAGGTCTCGCCCCGTGCAGGTCTCGCCCCGTGCAGGTCTCGCCCCGTGCAGGTCTCGCCCCGTGCAGGTCTCACCCCGTGCAGGTCTCACCCCGTGCAGGTCTCACCCCGTGCAGGTCTCACCCCGTGCAGGTCTCACCCCGTGCAGGTCTCACCCCGTGCAGGTCTCACCCCGTGCAGGTCTCACCCCGTGCAGGTCTCACCCCGTGCAGGTCTCACCCCGTGCAGGTCTCACCCCGTGCAGGTCTCACCCCGTGCAGGTCTCACCCCGTGCAGGTCTCGCCCCCCGTGCAGGTCTCACCCCGTGCAGGTCTCACCCCGTGCAGGTCTCACCCCGTGCAGGTCTCACCCCGTGCAGGTCTCACCCCGTGCAGGTCTCACCCCGTGCAGGTCTCACCCCGTGCAGGTCTCACCCCGTGCAGGTCTCACCCCGTGCAGGTCTCACCCCGTGCAGGTCTCACCCCGTGCAGGTCTCACCCCGTGCAGGTCTCACCCCGTGCAGGTCTCACCCCGTGCAGGTCTCACCCCGTGCAGGTCTCACCCCGTGCAGGTCTCGCCCCGTGCAGGTCTCGCCCCGTGCAGGTCTCGCCCCGTGCAGGTCTCGCCCCGTGCAGGTCTCGCCCCGTGCAGGTCTCGCCCCGTGCAGGTCTCGCCCCGTGCAGGTCTCCCCCGTGCAGGTCTCACCCCGTGCAGGTCTCACCCCGTGCAGGTCTCACCCCGTGCAGGTCTCACCCCGTGCAGGTCTCACCCCGTGCAGGTCTCACCCCGTGCAGGTCTCACCCCGTGCAGGTCTCACCCCGTGCAGGTCTCACCCCGTGCAGGTCTCACCCCGTGCAGGTCTCACCCCGTGCAGGTCTCACCCCGTGCAGGTCTCACCCCGTGCAGGTCTCACCCCGTGCAGGTCTCGCCCCGTGCAGGTCTCGCCCCGTGCAGGTCTCGCCCCGTGCAGGTCTCGCCCCGTGCAGGTCTCGCCCCGTGCAGGTCTCGCCCCGTGCAGGTCTCACCCCGTGCAGGTCTCACCCCGTGCAGGTCTCACCCCGTGCAGGTCTCACCCCGTGCAGGTCTCACCCCGTGCAGGTCTCACCCCGTGCAGGTCTCACCCCGTGCAGGTCTCACCCCGTGCAGGTCTCACCCCGTGCAGGTCTCACCCCGTGCAGGTCTCGCCCCGTGCAGGTCTCGCCCCGTGCAGGTCTCGCCCCGTGCAGGTCTCGCCCCGTGCAGGTCTCACCCCGTGCAGGTCTCACCCCGTGCAGGTCTCACCCCGTGCAGGTCTCACCCCGTGCAGGTCTCACCCCGTGCAGGTCTCACCCCGTGCAGGTCTCACCCCGTGCAGGTCTCACCCCGTGCAGGTCTCACCCCGTGCAGGTCTCACCCCGTGCAGGTCTCACCCCGTGCAGGTCTCACCCCGTGCAGGTCTCACCCCGTGCAGGTCTCGCCCCGTGCAGGTCTCGCCCCGTGCAGGTCTCGCCCCGTGCAGGTCTCGCCCCGTGCAGGTCTCGCCCCGTGCAGGTCTCGCCCCGTGCAGGTCTCGCCCCGTGCAGGTCTCGCCCCGTGCAGGTCTCACCCCGTGCAGGTCTCACCCCGTGCAGGTCTCACCCCGTGCAGGTCTCACCCCGTGCAGGTCTCACCCCGTGCAGGTCTCACCCCGTGCAGGTCTCACCCCGTGCAGGTCTCACCCCGTGCAGGTCTCACCCCGTGCAGGTCTCACCCCGTGCAGGTCTCACCCCGTGCAGGTCTCGCCCCGTGCAGGTCTCGCCCCGTGCAGGTCTCGCCCCGTGCAGGTCTCGCCCCGTGCAGGTCTCGCCCCGTGCAGGTCTCGCCCCGTGCAGGTCTCGCCCCGTGCAGGTCTCACCCCGTGCAGGTCTCACCCCGTGCAGGTCTCACCCCGTGCAGGTCTCACCCCGTGCAGGTCTCACCCCGTGCAGGTCTCACCCCGTGCAGGTCTCACCCCGTGCAGGTCTCACCCCGTGCAGGTCTCACCCCGTGCAGGTCTCACCCCGTGCAGGTCTCACCCCGTGCAGGTCTCACCCCGTGCAGGTCTCACCCCGTGCAGGTCTCACCCCGTGCAGGTCTCACCCCGTGCAGGTCTCGCCCCGTGCAGGTCTCGCCCCGTGCAGGTCTCGCCCCGTGCAGGTCTCGCCCCGTGCAGGTCTCGCCCCGTGCAGGTCTCGCCCCGTGCAGGTCTCGCCCCGTGCAGGTCTCGCCCCGTGCAGGTCTCGCCCCGTGCAGGTCTCACCCCGTGCAGGTCTCACCCCGTGCAGGTCTCACCCCGTGCAGGTCTCACCCCGTGCAGGTCTCACCCCGTGCAGGTCTCACCCCGTGCAGGTCTCACCCCGTGCAGGTCTCACCCCGTGCAGGTCTCACCCCGTGCAGGTCTCACCCCGTGCAGGTCTCACCCCGTGCAGGTCT